CCTATTTATCAATAATTTTGATACTGTCTTGTAAAAGACTATCTTGAGTTTTCCAAAACTTTTGTTCCTAGTCACATTATCTTCACAAATTAAAGCTTAAAGAAACACATGAAATATTTAAAATATTTATCCATTTGGATACCAAATAAATAAGCAGTCACAACGTGTTTGTACCGAGATGCAAGAGTATCTAGGAAATATGGTTATCACCTCAACAAAATTATACAGAGACAAAAAAGGTCAGTATTCAAGAAAAGCTACAAGTAAAAAGGAAACAACCAAACATGAAATGGCAAAACATTAAGCTTGAGCATATCAACATTACAAAATGAGAGAAAACTGCATACATACTTCAATAACTGAAAGTTTAACAAATTATAGACTGTATAAAAATATCAGTCTGTAGTGGTCACTAAATTATTACACAAATGAATCGTGCCATTCTTACCATCAACTTTTTAGTATTTTGAGATTTTCTAAGAGGTTCCGAAGATGAGACAAAACTACTAAACATTCCTGGATATGATATTCACTACACTATCTTCCACCTCATTAGTTTCAATAAAGGCCATCTATTTTAATCAGTTGCAATTATTCAACAATCTACTTTTACTCAAGGCTACATCAAAATATAAAAAATATAATCTCTTAAAACAAATTTTTCTTTGCACAGCCTCTCTCTTTCTATAGAATTAAGTAGCTTATTTATCATATACTGTATATATATTATAAAGATCTAACAACAAACGCAATACATGTCTCAAAGAGCATATTTTCTAGTAACCGAGGACACTGTACAGCGCAGTTTGGTACTACCATAATACTGTATTACAACAGGTGTAACATTTAAAGATGTTTACACTTACACGACAACTGTTTACAAGTCCGAGAGCCTCTAAGCAGGCTCAACAAAGTCTACATTTTATCTTCATTACTCAAATATCTAAATACTGTACAGTATAAAAAAAAACCTTGATATAAAACTATAAGCTATATATTAAATGCATGGAATGTTAAAATATGATACCTTTGACCTCATAGAAACATTGATTTATATAATTTAAGCCTGTTTGTATTTACCATACTAATTTCAATAAAGTACGGAAGAGAATTTAGGCTCCCCATTTTATGCTAGGATGCATTCAACACTATGCATAAATTTTCAATATTTAGAATTCAAAGCATTTTATGGGTTAAAATAAGATTTTGCTTACAAAAAATTTGAAGAATTTGTTAATTACCATCAGACTACTTTTTAAAGTTCACTAATAACAGAACATCACCAAAATACTGTAATTAAATTGACATGAAAGTTTTTTCTATATAATTTTTAAGGTTTATTAACACTAGCAAACAATATAATTCAATCTACATACCTTTCTAAGCCTATCTGCATACCTTGAGAGGGCTCAGGAGTTCTACTCCCCGAGCCCAGCCTGGGACCAGGCTCAACACTGTATTATGAGCACATTCTAATATCTACGAAATGATTTTAGGTTAAAACCGGGGTTGGTGTGGTAGGTACTCGCTCACCTGCTCGGGCCAGATTTTTTTATTTTATAAATCTCGGGCTGGTTTAGATTTTCATTTTTGTTAAGGCCAACTTACAGTATTTCTATTAAAATTTAAACAGGCTTTTATTTATTTATTTATTCAAGAGATAAAACACATTTTTTTTTTACAAACTCTGGTTGAAAGTGAATAATATTTCTCCTTTTAAAGCAAATTACAGATTCTTCATGTATATGAATTACATCATGCCAGTAATTATACAAAGAAGGCACCAAACTGGGAGGCTATGTAGCATCATCAAATGTGCGGAATAATCAGAGGGCGCTAACAAACGATATCAAAAGTATCCGGTTCACCAAGAATTCTATCGAGGGACAAGTGATCGCGAGGCACGGTCGGAAAACAAGATACACGCTCGTCCTGGAAGTCGGTACCCTCAAGGATATGCACGACTGTAAAAGGGACAATGCAATTTGGACAATAAGGAGCAAGGCGGCGCTCCATTAAGTGACCGTGAGTTAAGCGTGTATGGCCAATATGCAACCTTGCAAGAGCCGTTTCTCACTGCTGGTTACAGTGGTAGGGGGAAGGCCACGGGGACACTAAGCTTAAGAGTATGCAGTGTGTTACCAACAACCCTGTCAACAGGCAAGGATGGAGGAATGAATAACTGGGTAAAAGTTGGAATAAGGAATACTTTTACGGAAGATGGGACAAGAGTGGATAGCGACTCGAGCGGCAGCATCTGCACGCTCATTTATAAAAACACCAAAATGGCTGGGAACCCAGCAAAACTCAACTGTCTTAAATCTGCTGGAGATAAACAGCCAATGTTGAATTTCATCTACCATAGGATATAATGGATTTAATGATTCCAGAACCATGAGGGCACTGCAAGTCAACTACAACAAGAGGATGTTGACAGCAAGAAAGCAATTGACGAAGAGCATACAAAATAGCATAACATTCTGCCATGAAGATGCTAGTCTCCAGGGCAGGTGTTGCATGTAGGTGTGGTCAGGAAATATAATGGCGTAGCCTACACCCTTGGCAGTCTTAGACCCATCTGAAGATTTCATTAGAGCAGGAATGTGAAGAAAAGTGTGCAAGGAAAAGGCATTTCAGAACTATAGGAGGGGTAGAAGCCTTTACCATGTGGGTCAAGGTTTTACAAAACTTGGGAAGTGGGACCCTCAATGGGGACATGTATGAAACGACAAAAGAAGAAATATTGGTAACATGAACCGGGAGAGAATCTTGAGAGAGACAACTGTGTGGAAAAAAAGGCGGCGGTGAAAGGGAACAGGGCCCCACATGAAGGGCAACGGCCAAAGCATGACATAAGCAAGAGTGAGGATGACAAAAAATAGTTCACAAAACTAATGTAAAAAAATCACATTTGGCAATTTGAGCACAAGAGTTAAGTGCTGATAGCAATTGGAGCCGTTTAAGGGTTAACTACCATAACTGGATAGTAAGTACTGTACCTTTAAATTTTGAATTTATAGCATTAATGTAGAGCATTTAGCCAAGTTGTGAGAATTTAAGATAATACTCATTTATTGCTATAGTACTTGATGGTAATTAGTCATGTGCTTTTTTTGTTAGATGTCATATTTGCATTTTTTTAACTTTTTGGATAAGCAAGAAATGTGTCCATTTAACAATATTTGACATTTATTCATTAGATTGACCCATGACAAGGACCTGGCTCATGTTAAAGAAGAATTTGGTGATGACGTTCTTCTTCATTCTATCTTCAGTGGTTCAAAGGCTATGGAGTGGATACAACCAGAGACAAAGAAATGGACGGAGGTACAAGTGTAATCCAGTCCAGCACCACAATGTGTTAGTGCATATTCTCTCAACCCTTTTTCTTATTTACATGGGGCAGGAAGACACAAAATGGGAAAGGAGGGGAAAAGTATTGTATGAATTGAGTAAATAATATTTGAAGCAAAACTCCCAATATTATTTACTTTTATACCATTTCTCACATCTACTCTATTTCAGAAGTAACAAATACAATGTTTGGATAACACAGTCTCTAATAATAAAGATACACATTCCAAAAAAGTAATGAAGCTCCTACATTTATATATATTTTAGAAGATCCAACAACAGTTAACTCTCACACACGACTCAAGTTGAAACATCATTATACTATGTTATTTTTGGCCCTACAGTTCTATAGATGTCTGATTATGAGCTTTTTGGAGCTATCGCACTTAATAGAAAAGCTCATTTAATTTAAACCTCCTTACCTATCAGTAGCTATCGACAAAATGGAAATTTATTGGAAGCAGTAATGTGTCCCACATAGGTAAGATCAATATCCACCAAGATAAGAGGATATTTGGGTGAGAAACTATTATATTTTCTTGCACCAAGCATCATACTGTGCTCAAAAATTTTCAGTTCTTCTAATATTACAGTATTTACATTTCATCTTGTGTGATGACAAACTGATAAATGGCAGCTTGCTAAATCCTAACTATGGACGTGGTAGGGGCAAGACGAAGACCTGTCTATCAAGAATTCGAGTACCTTTGGTTAGTGCTAATCAGCTATACAGAGGGTGTCAACAAAGTTGATACGCGAATTTATAAAATTAAGAAACTTGAGGATACTCTGATAATGAGTGGCAACAGTGCATGATAAATGTGCATCACATTTTGTGTGACTCCTGGTGACTGGTGCCCCCAGCCAAATTTATGCTCCTTTTTTTGTATCTAATGCCATCTTTCATCAAAATCAGGAACCTTTGAGGAATCGGTCGCTTCGAAGACCCCCATACACACACACACATTCCTTTTTACTCATCTATAGACTATTTAAGTAGCAGTAAATGATTGTGCAAGGTGACAAATTCTATCAAACTAAAACTTCTTCACTCAAAGTTACAAGAATAAACTTATCAAATGATATGAGTGTAGTCAACAAATGATTGCAGGTCATCCAATATGTAAACTTTAAGTGATCAAAAATGTATAGTACTCTACAATATGATGAATCAAGTTTCCATCGCCTCTCTTGTCCCATCTTTGAATAGCATCTTTCTTGCATTATTTCCCTTATACAATTATTCAAGAGTACTGTAATAAATTATATATATTAGTTCTTCGCTTATTTAGATTTACAAGAATTTTATCTTAGTACTGTATCTGCACTGTAAAAAAAAAATACAGTATATATATCTTAGGGGCCTGACAGCCGATTGGACAGCACTCTGAATTCGTAGTCCTGAGGTTCTGGGTTCGATCCCCAGTGGAGGCGGAAACACGGGCAGTGTTTCTTTCACTCTGGTGCCCCTGTTCACCTAGCAGTAAATAGGTACCTGGGAGTTAGACAGCTGCTACTGGCTGCTTCCTGGGGGTGTGTAACAAAAGGGAACGATAAGCCCCGAAATCATCTCAAGATAACCTCAAGATAATCTTCAAAGCAAATTCTGAATTACAAAAAGCAAGCCAATAACCATCTTGTGAGTCCGTGCACGTATTTAAGGTGTTTATTTTTTTTAACTACAAGCCATAATAAAGAAAATAAAAAGTGTTTAATGTAATTTAACACCAATTTCTGGGTAAGCCCCAGAAATTGGTGGCAGAAAAAGTAAGGTGTTCATAGTGCCACCGCTCCCCATGCCTCTCTGAGGAGGTCCAGGTTCTGGCTCATGGGGCCCCAGTAGGCCAATAAGAACTCCATGACTGATGACACCTAATAGTATGGCATTGAATCAGTGTTATAATAGCTACAGGGAGCCTGAAGGGGTTACCCCCCCCCCTTCCCCCAGAAAAAAACATGTACCGTACAAAGATAGATATTTCTCAAGTGTATATTTTCAGAATAGTTCCTTCCAAATGAAAACGGAACATAATACAGCAAGAAGCTTTCAACAAATATTCAACATAAATGTACAGCTATCAATATTACATACAGAATGTTATATTATCTGCACTACTAGTAATGAGCTAAAGATGATACATTTTCAATGGTCATGACCCATCTCTTCAAGGTATGCAATAGCCATCATAAGACCTACACCACTCAGGAGGGCCACTACCTCAAACACAGACTGCCAGAACCGAGTGTTTTCAAGCAGCTCTGGGATGACAGATACAGTTGCAATGTAAATGAAGCCTCCAGCAGTAAATGGCAGGATCCATGCTGTGGCAGATTCATCTGTCAAAGAAAAAAAAATTTAAGTTAGGGACTAAAATGAAATACAGTGCAGCTTTGATTCAGCGAACTGTAATCGCCTAGTTTTTGTACTCGCTTAGTTGTGCTTGCGGGGGTTGAGCTCTGGCTCTTTGGTCCTGCCTCTCAACTGTCATTCAACTAGTGTACAGATTCCTAAGCCTGCTGAGCTCTATCATATCTACATTTGAAACTGTGTATGGTGTCAGCCTTCACCACATAACTGCCTAACGTATTCCATTCTTTTGATGTGTGCTTCAGGAGACAGGTTTGTCATGATATCAGCTAGATCTTTCTCTATCCGTTTCATGAAGGATTTTATCTCCCATTCAGTATCCTGTGTCTGGCTTCCTGTTTCCACCACCTAGTTTCATTACCTTACATTTACTTAGGTTGAACTTTAGTAGCATTTGTTGAACCATTCATTCAGTCTGTATAGGTCATCTTGTAGCCTCATACTATCTTCCTCTGTCTTAATCCTCCTCATAATTTTTGCATCGTCAGCAAACAATGAGAGGAACAAGTCTATTTCCTCTGGGAGATCATTTAAATATATCAAACAGTATTGGTCCAAGGACTGATCCCTGCGACCTTACCCCTCACAGTGACTCGCTGTCTTCTGTTGCTTAGGTACTCCTATACCTAATATAGGACCGACTAATATACCTATTCTGTACTAATATATATTATACTATGCAAACGAGGAGTCACAATAACGGTGCTGAAATATGTTGACCAAACCACACATTAGAAAGTGAAGGGACGACGACGTTTCGGTCCATCCTGGACCATTCACAATCGACTTGAGAATGGTCCAGGACGAACCAAAACGTCGTCGTCCCTTCACTTTCTAGTGTGGTTTGGTCAACATATATTATGCTACTGTATAATAGATTCCACGGATTAAGCGAGCACCACCTGCCGACACGCATGACTAGAAGCAAAGAACAGAGATACTGCCTCCCGCAGGATAGGCGCAAACAACTTCAATAGCGCAGCCGATGCCCACACCGCCGAAACTAGCACACCTGACCCCAGGATCAGCCCAAAGCGCCTCCACGTCATCCTCAAGCCAGTCCAAAGACAGCTTGAGAAGGGAAAAGAAATGCAAGACTGACGCCAATCGTGCCTCTATGAGGGGAGCGCCAGGTTCTGGCTCGTGGTCCCTGGTAGGCCTAAGAACTCCACTCGATTTGACTGATGCCAGGGTCTAATACATTCATATCAGCCCGGATAGCTCCGGTGAGCTGAAGGGGCTCTCTCCAGGAAAACATATACTGTACTGAACTGTGCTAAATAAATTAGCCCAGAAATATACTCTAAATCCTGTAGGTAAACATGATGCTTTTAGCACTTGAAATGCTGAAATGAAAAATACTGTACGGTGGTACCTCGAATAACGATCGCCTCAAATGGCGAACATTTTGGGTAACGACTGGCCCAATCGCCGACAATTCGTCTCATATGGTGACCGCTCATTTGAATAACAACGACACCACATGGTGGGGTCGTGCTGCTGCTTGCGCATTCTCCGACGCCTCTGACGATGCAAATAAATTATGTTCGTTTTTGTTTAAAGGCTAATGATGCTGGGATATAAAGGGGTGACTACTGAGATGTTGCAAAGCATTGACTTTTTTGTAGAAAAAAGAAATGAACTTTTTTGAAATACAACAAATGTCAAAAAGGTTCGTTCAGTGTTCGGCAGGTAGGCTGCTCCATTATTGAGACGTAAATGAAAAATACAAAACAAATGGAACACATTAGAAACAAAGAAAGATGGCTATAATGGAGCAGCCTACCCGACAAACAATGAACAAAACTTTATGGCATTTGTCCGTTTTTCAAATTGTTTCAACTGTTTGTTTTATTGTTCGTTTTTTTGTTTTTATTTAAGAAACATAGAGCAGCCCACCTGCCAAACACTGAACGAACCTTTTGCTATAAGACAAATGAAAAAAAAATATTGAACAAATTCGAAGAAAGAAAAATGTCATAAAGGTTTGTTCAATGTAAGGTAGGCTGCTCCATTATTTAAAACCGAATATCATATTGATGTTTTTCGGTGGTAGAACGGATTAATTTGATTTCCATTATTGTCAATGGGGACATTTGTTTTGTATGACGTCCGTTTCACATGACGATCACGGCGCCGGAACGGATTAAATTCGTTATTTGAGGTTCCACTGTACTAGTATAATAAAGGAAGCTTTACCTGCACCCTCAGCTAACAAGGAAATTATGGTTCCTGTTAAAGCTCCAACAGCTGTAAGCAACTGTAGCATCATGGCCTGAAATGGAAAATAATCAGGAATAAAACACAGTACAGTACTACACATATACAGTAGTACAGTACAGTACCATATTTAAGAGCACATTAGAAACCAGATTATATATATTATTTATATATTTATATATTTATATATATATATATATTTATATATATATACTGTATACAATTTATTTATTTATAAATAAACTGCAGACAACAGAGGGACAGCGTGATAAGGCATCAGAGGGGGGAAATTTCTGATCATGTGTTACCCCCTGTTATTAATAATGTTCAATTCCAATTAAAATTATAAGATGCCAACAAGATACAGTATATGACAACTTAAGCAGGTGATGACTTAATCCATGATTTGTAGCATATTTGTGTTAAAAATATTAATGAAATAAACATTCAATGCAGAGGAAAAGATTTAGCAGGTGAATTAATTGTTTGGTTACACTAGTACTCGACAAATAATCACCTTTTTTCGGGTACATCCAGACTGCAGAAGGATAGCAAAGTCTCCAATTTCATGAGGTATTTCATGAAGAAAGATAGTAACTGTAGTTACTACCCCAATGCTCTTGCCAGCCAGAAATGAGGCCCCAATGGCAAGACCATCTGTCAAGTTGTGGGCAAAATCAGCTGCAAGATTGAGGTATCCTGCAACCTTAATCTCCCCTGCAAAAGAATAAGTAATTTCATAATCTAACAAAGTACTGTAATCCTAATCAAATGTACCCTTGCATACACTGCACTTTAAATACATTTACAAATACAACAGATCATTCAACCTTTGATTTCAGATCTGGTGTACTATATTTTTAAGATGAGTTATGTTTGATATGTGGGGAATACTACATGAAATAAACATTGTAGCTGTGAATATATTGGCATTTCTTACCATACAGGTTTGTCACTTATGCAAATAGCATCTTCTGCAGTACATGATCACTGTGCAGTCATGACTCACCTTTTCACCAAGTGACTTAACTGAACCAATTTAGTTCTTTCTAGATTAGACCTTAACACACTGAAATTTATTTGTATTAATAAAAACAGACCAGAGTTGAACAATTTTGGGCCTAGACAGCCAACAGCCGAGTGAACAGCGCTTCAGATTCGTAATCCTGAGGTTCCGGGTTCGAACCCCTTTGGAGGCGGAGACAAATGAGCAAAATGTTTCTTTTACCCTAATGCCACTGTTACCTAGCAGTAAATAGGTACCTGGGAGTCAGACAGCTGCTACAGGCTGCTTCCTGGGGATGTATAACAAAAAGGAGGCCTGGTCGAGAACCGCGCCACGGGGACGCTAATCCCCAAAATCATCTCAAGATAACCTCAAGACAGATGCCATTGTTTACACATTTTGCCTCCTGCAAGTATGTACCTTTTATCGTTTTGATCTTTGATATTTATACTACAGTTGTAATTTTTTTTAAATTGTCTTTTTTATATTTTTAGCAATTTTTTTTTGCTTTGTAATTTGTTCTTTTTAATGATTGAATATTCTTTCCAAAATAGTTTTACACAATGGAAAATAAATGAAGATACATTACACATCTTCTCTCTTTTACTACTGTTCCTCATAAGAATAAAATTAAAGACATCAGGATGTTCAACTTACTTAGGCCTAGTTTTATCTGTTAGGCAGCATTTGTACTGAGAAATAATAAACTTCTTAGGTTAGGTTAGTTTTATAATTATTTTTTTTTTGTTTTTTTAGTCAAAACTAACAAAAAATATCGTGCATAAGAAAAATCATTCTTTTTTTTTTTTTAACTGTAATAAGAAAATTGGACTTGTTAAAGTACCCTGGCCATTACGTACAACAATATACAGTATTGTACTGTATGTACGCACATGTGGCCATCATTTATGAACGTCTAAATCCTCCATTGTTGTTCTGGCAATATGAAGACATTACACGTATTTAACACAGGTATTGTTCTTCCATTCCTGGTAATCTCAAAAAATTAGTACTGTACCCAGTATTATGAACATCATTCCACACTAATATATATTTGCCTAGTTAATTGGTGTTGAAGGATGAAGTGGAAATATTAAAACTGGTATTTCTTTATCAATTATTTACCTGAATTTATCTGAGGGCCACTAACAAACTAGTGGCCTCGACGAGGACAGGAAGCTGGCGGCTTGTCTTAATACAAGATGATCACAACCTATTATTAAGTTTCCAACCAAGTCCCACCAACATCACTCATGCAGTCCATAAGGAGGAAACCTTCATAGAAATTGTATGTACAGTATCAAAAAGAAAAATTCCACCAAGTTCACATCTACCCTAAATGGTAACCTCACAAAGCAAATGCTTCAAGTTCATAATACAATATTGTGCGTACCTTCATTTTTTTTGGTCAAATGCTTAGAGTTTTTCTTTTTGTCATTCTTCTTTTCCTTGTCTCCATTTGATTTCTCTTCAGCGTTCTTCTTAGACTTTTCTTCCTGCAACACTGGAATGGCATGCGAGTGCGAGTGACCTCCCTTGAAAATCCGCACAAACTTCTCTACAACAAGGAATGCGATAATGCCACCCAACACAGCAAGCCCAATGCTCATGTCATGACCATGATCAGCCTCACCACTGCCCTCGTGGGTGTTAGAATGAGAATGAGAGTGAGAATGTGAGTGTGAGTGGTCACCACTGCCTGCTGCAGCCTTCGCCATAAGTGCATGAGGAATCAGGTGCAAAAATGCATCCCCGAGAAGGCCACCCGAGGCAAAGGCAAGAAGGATCTTAAGATAAGGCTCATGTTCCTTGCGGTTCGTCACAGGTATAAAGAAGAGAATTAGGTATGGAGCTATACTAATAAGTAGAGTTGCACAAATTGCCTCAACCCATATGCTGGATTTTGGTAATTTGACATTATGAGGGGCACCTCCCGTGGGGGTGGGAGGCTCTTGGTGGGCGTGTGGGTCGTGGTGGGCGTGTGGGTCGTGGTGGGCGTGTGGGTCCTGGTGGGCGTGTGGCTCGTGGTGGGCGTGTGGGTCATGGTGGGCGTGTGGCTCGTGGTGGGCGTGTGGGTCATGGTGGGCGTGAGGCTCTTCATCGTGGTACGGTTCATTCGCCTGTTTACTCCACTTAAAAGCAGGAGGTTCGTCATTTCCATGACTATGGCCATGGTGGTCGTGGCTGTGTCCGTGGCCGCACACCAGAGGAAGTGACATAAATATACATACTACTAATATCACAGGTATAACCACTCGAATCACAAATTGTTTCATGTTCCTTTTAGTCGTGAAGGCAATATTGTTGTTGTTGAGGGAGCAAGGACTGGACAATGCTGTATATACCCCACCAATATTGATGTGCCGATTCGTCTTCAGATTTTCCTGGACGGCAGGAGGAGACAAATCTGAGGTCACTGTTTACCTCTCATTTGATTAAAATTTTGTTTTTTAATTTTTCTAATCTATAATACTGTGATAGAAATGTAAAATATTTTCTTATAGTTGTATTTGATTATTATATTTAACTATAAAACTAATATATATTGATTATATAAAATATATATTGTTAAACGATGCCTTTCCTTTCTGCCTCCTAACTCCTCCTCCTCCTCCTGGCGCTAAGGAAACACAAGACGCTCCATGATGAGTCATACGTGGCACAGCGTCAACAATACCACATTCGAGTCTCCTTTTAAATATTGCAATATATCATTCGTTTACATTTGGTAACTATCTTAGTTAAATAAATACAAATTTTAAATTATAGTTATATATCAACAAGCATTACAAATATATAACAAAATAAGAAAAAATAAGCTTGCATGAAGTTAGTTTAGTTCATTTATTATGCACCCCATACCCATATTGTGGGCGGTAGTGGAAAGGGTTACAGAGGCACATAATGGGCTCAGGGACTGAACTCCACAATTCATTTAGCTAAACAAGTTACAATCTTGATGAGCTAGTTACAAAATTCAATATAAGTCGTCACATCAACAATGGGTTCGAGATCGACCCCATCAGGTACAGGTTCTAAATTAAGCAACTGACATATGTGGAGAGCTAGTGTCACAATTGATATGTTTGTCCTGCACACCGCCCCCCATCCAGTGGGCAGCGGTGGATAGGTTACAATCACTCAGTTACTACCTACAGTTAGCAAACTGGGGATATTTGGCTAAAATTTCTGGTAGCAGATCATTTTGAATGAAATATTTACACATCGCTGGAACATTGATTATAGAATTGTCTCTAAATTCACGTATCTTTTCGCACTCCATCACATAGTGACGGAGGGTGTGCGAATAATTTTGTTGACACAGTTTACATTTGGTCAGGTCTACATCAGCAGATAATGAGAATTCCCAGAGATACTTGTAACCGAGTCTAAGCCGAGCAGTAGTAACATCTAGAAGTCTGCTGATTTTATTGGATGATCCATAGATGTGTGGCTCCTCTTGCATGATAGTATGATGATAGATGGAATTACTGGTGTCAATTTCACTTTGCCTCAGATCTACAAGATCTTGTTGAAGTTCTCGGTGTACTGCTGCTCTCAGATTGCTCATTGACAATCCAACGTTACACTCAACCGTTTATCAACAAATCTGCGTGAAATAAGCATTGTTCTGAGATGAATACTGCGGGTTTCCAGCTCGACGAGCCATGAAAACTGCAATTTTTTAACAACTAGAAATATCTTCGGTTCTACTTAAAAATTTGTCAGGTAGAGCTTTTACATATAGATCCCATTTATCTCTTTCTCCTGACTAATAAATAATTTTGGTTTAATAAGTTATCAACATGTTTTAAACATGTTGATAACTTTCGGCGTTCGTCTATTCCCGAAACGCTGCGCGTACTAGTGGCTTTACAAGATTGTAAATACTATGCTATGTATTCTCACAAACCCAATGTACCTTCTTGTATATAAATAAATAAATAAATAAACAAATAAATAAATAAATAAACAAATAAATAAATAAATAAATAAAATTCCATGTGGGCGACCCTTTTGGGAAGGCGATAGTTCGGTTGACCCAAGCCAGAGTTGGGTGTGACTCTAACAAGGGTTGGGACATTGTTAGTGTTGTGAAGCCACTAGTAAACAGCCTGACTGCAGGAACTGGCAGACATCACTGTGGGCCTGGTTGTGTCTCCTGCTGCTGCACACTTGTGGCAAGTGTTTGGGCAGATGCTGTAGAGTTATTTGACCAGACCACACACTAGAAAGTGAAGGGACGACGACGTTACGGTCCGTCCTGGACCATTCTCAAGTCGGTTGAGAATGGTCCAGGACGGACCGAAACGTGGTCGTCCCTTCACCTAGTGTGTGGTCTGGTCGAATTACTTTAGCCACGTTATTGTGACTCCTCGCCTGCCTGTAGCGTTATGAGAGGTGTTTGGGAGCCACCTGTTGGTTCAGAGGGTCAGCACCTGAGGTGCAAGAGGTCGGCCAGTTATGTCCCGTGTGTGGGGTAAGATAAGTGTTTCTCTTTCTCCCGCCCCCCCTCCCCATGGAAGGTATGGCTGTTAATGGATTTATAATAGTATTTTTTATGTATTTTTATTATATTTATATATATACAAGTAGGTACATTGGGTTTGAGTACATAGCATTGATGTTTTTACAAAGTCACTAGCATTTATAGGGCATTTCTACCAACATGTATGTATACACATACATACACACACATACACTACCCTGTATATATATGTTGTTAAATATGACTGAAAAAGTAAAATTAATAATTCTAACACGAATTTTCTCTATTTCTTATTTCTTTTCACTGTCGATGGTAATTGAAAAATCAATTCTCCAAAATTCATTGTTATTTCTAATCTAGTCAACCCCTTGGTATGTATGGGTGTTAATGGTTGTGTGTGTGGGGGGGGGATGTGCACACACATACATACAGTTCCTTGAAATGATTAATGGTTACACTGAATAATGAAATACTGTACTGTATTTTGCTCATGTTTAAAAATTGTAATACTTTATTAATTTTGTTTATTGTGAAATATAGAATGTACAGTACTAGGAACTAAAAAATATATAAAATTTTCAGAATGCTTCAGTAGTCCAGGTGAACAGCACAGAATGGCAACTGATCAGTGTAAAAGGGTTTCCTCGCCTAATGTCGAAGATCAGATATCTGAAACAGTAAGATATGATACGCGCAATGTATAACCTGTACAAAATAGACAACTTCCATACAAATTATTTTCAGTCTTATTAAACAGTAGTACTGAATTATCCATTAATCCCAATAAACACTCAGAATATTATGTAAACAAATATATATTATCTTACGAATATGTGATTGTAACACTTTTTACTGTATGTTCTGTAGCTAACATTGAGGTACAATTAAGATGTGCCAGTTCTGGGTCAGCGCCGCCTTCAGACCCATCTTCATCTGGTCGGCGCGGTGCTTGCTCTGTGCGTCAGCCGGGTTCTTGTAAGGAGCGTCGGCCCTTTTGCGGTTTGCCCTATTGACGGGGCGTTGTTTGGGGGGGGGGGGCCCTCACTTTGTTCGCTCGTGCAGGGTCTCATGATTTGTGGGCGTTTTTTATTCGTTTCCGACCGCCTGCGGTAGCGTTGGGAGGCCCCTCCTCTTTCAAGGGGTTCGGGGCTGATGGGGCAGGTCTTTTCTCCTCTGCTCCGTCGGGTCATCTCAGAGTGGGTATGCTTGGGCATGGTCAACACGACGATGTCCCTTAGGTGGGTTTCCCATCTATTCCCAGTCACAAAATGGTACTGTATGGACCTGCGGTTCATTCAGGATTTGTTCCGTCTAAACCTTTGGCTTTTTGCCCCTTTTTTCGGATAACTACTCTGTCCCAGGTCCAGGTTCTGTTGGAGCTGGGTGTTTGGGTGGTGTGTGTGGACCTCCAGGATGCGTATTAGCACGTCCCAATTCATCCGGAGTTTAGTGATTAACTCGGGTTTGTTTTGGGGCGTCTCGGTTACCGCTTTCATTGTCTCCCACTCGGGTTGCATCTGGCATCCCGTGTGTTCACACACCTTACCTGGGTCGTGGTGGCCCATCTGTCTCTCTTTGGCCTTTGGTTCTGGCTGACCTCGACAACTGGCTTGTCTGGGCTTTCAGCCTGTCCTCGTGTCTGCTCGCCAGGGACTTGGTTCTGTCTTTGCTTGCCGGGTTCAGGTTCTTGGTGTACTGGCGGAAGTCCCATCTTGTTCCCTCTCGGCCTTAGTTTCGGGTGCTGTTTGCTCGGTGTCTGAACCCAGGGGGTTTTCCTATGGCTCCGTCTTTTTCCAATGATTGGTCCGGTCCGTTATGTGGCTGGTTATCTTCTCAGGTCTTTGTGTCTGGTACATTTAACTCGAGCCTGTCACTGTCTGTTTGGTGATCAGGTGGCTTCGTTGATGGTGTCTCGCCTGTGTACTTCGTCTCGGAGGTAGTTTGTGGTTTACCGGCTGTCCTTCAATTTTTCTTTTTGTCTCTTCGTAGGTATACAGTACTGCATTTTTGTTAAGGTGGTCTTGTCCTTTCTCTATTGGCTGTTCAGGACCGTCATTGTATGCTGCATACTGTTGCCTTGTGTTGTGGTGCTGGGGGAGCTGCTACGGCTTACTTTCGGTTTTGGTGTTCCTTTTGCTTCGTTTCGCGGGCGGTCTCGGGCGTCATTTCACCTCGCCCTGCTCATGCACCGCCCGAGCCATCCTGGTGTTTGGACAAGGTGCTCTCTTATCTCCTTTCCCCCTCAGTTTGTTGTGGCCCCTTTGGTTCAGGATTGTTTCTCAGAGGTTTCTTCTCCTTTGGGTTCTGGTGTTCGGTTTGTTTATTTGAAGCCGTCTCTTCTTCTCTGGTGAGGTTGGGACGGCTGTTTTCCGGTGGGGTCCCATAGGTTGTTGTTGGTTTGGCCGGGGGTCCATCTTCTTGTGTCTGATTGTGGCTCTCGGCCATTGCCTGCATTCCATGGCCTCTGTGGCATTGGATGCGCTTTGGGTTAACCCGGGTTCCCTTCGTCCCTGTTCCAGGGTTCGGGTTTCGGGCGCGTGGTTTCCGCCTCCCGGGTTTGTCCCTCTTTTGTCCCTGTCTTTGGGTAGACAGCTCCGGGGAGCCAAAGGGGCTTCCCCCAGAAAACCAGCGTTGAATGTAATGAAACGCCATTTTCTGGGCGAGACCCGGAGGCTCCCCGGCATCCCTCCCTCCCTCCGGTTGGCGGCTTTTTTGCGTGTTTTGACATCCAGCCTCAGAATTGAAGGTGTGGGTTGCCGGCACCAGGGGTCTGGGGATCTCCCTTTCCCCTCCTGGGAAGTGGAGAGCTGCGCAGACGTCGGCCCAGCATGTGATGATGTCATGCTCGTTTGCTTGATTTTATTTGGGAGTTCTGTCCACTCGTTTGACTTTCAGTAGCAGTTTCAACCAGAATAGGGGTTTGTTTTGGGATGCTTACCTTTCTGGGTACCTGACCCGGTCGATGGCAGACATAGAATGCTTCAAATCACACGTGCTATTCTATAGGCCATTGCTCCTCGTGCCTCTCTGAATGGGCTAGGTTCTGGCTCGTGGTCCCTGGTAGGCCTATAAACTCCATTCGTACTGACTGATGACAAAGTAGTATATTACATATCGGCCTGGATAGCTCCGGGGAGCCTAGGGGTTTCACCCAGAAAATGGCGTTTCATTACGTTCAACGCTGGTTTTTTGAGGACCCGGCCCTTTAAATATGGTGACAACATCGTGTGAAACAATGAAAAGACAGTTTTGTTAGAAAAATGAATTAACTGAAGAAGTAAATGAGTGAGAGTGAAAGTTGAGCAAGTTTCTGAGGTTTAAATCTGAAAATTATACTGTAGTAACAACAATTTGTCTTGCTTTAAATTAACTACATTTATTTCTATATAAAGAATGTTGTAAGGTATATAGATAATATGAGAACCAGTGAACAACTTGTTTTAATCTTTTTTCCAGTGGTCGTCTATATTCATAAATGGATTTGGAACTATGACTTACTCTACAGTGTTTGTCAAGCAATTAGTTTCAGTGGCATTGTCGACCATCACTTATCTGCGCGCCCTTTTTCCAGAGGTAATGTATCGCCACGTGGTTTTTTAGATGAGCTGGAAGTTAAGCAGCAAAATATGATCATATAATGAAATAAAAGAAAAGTTATTTTTTAACTGGAGAGAATACCAACCAAGAGAAAATAAAATACTATAAATGCTTGCTTCATAAGATTTTATTTAGTAGATGCACAGTATAATAGTTTTTATGTAAAGAATGTTTCATTCATTAAATTTATTTATGTACAAGAATGGACATTGGACTTGAGAGAGTACATAACATTGGTGTTCTTACATTCTTGTAAAGCCACTACCACGCATAGCATTTAAGAATTTTAATTTATTTTAATTTTTATAATATTTTAAATATTCTATTTATTTAGGAATAATTTTTTTTTGTTCTATAAGATTCAGTTAACAGTTAATCTTGACTCTGTTTGCAACAATGATTTCTAGAATAAAGCTGCTCTTATCTTATTAACAGTAAAACATGTAATGGAAACTATTGAGAAATATTCTGTGATTAAGTTATTGAATTCCAGTAGACCTTCAGTACTCTTTACTGTTTATTTCAGACTTGTTTGCTGTACTTTGATAAATCCTACCTTCTATGCCATAAATTCTTGCATTAGGTGCAGTGTACAGAGTTCTACACCTATTCATAGTAAGAAGTAGTCATATTGAACTGTTAAAGTGCAGATTTTAAAACTACAAGTGGATGATAAGTATTCACATATTACCTGTATTCATTTTTGTATTTACATGTAAGAAAGTAAAATATTTTTCTTTTTTAATTTTGGTGTGTAAATTATACATTCTCATCAAGTTCCGGTACATGCATGTTGATGAATATATTTGTTAACAGGCTTTTAATTCTATCTTCCTAAACAGGATGCATATAGCGACAAATATGTTGGTGGTGTAAACCTCAAGCTCTTGATGTCAAGGAGCCAACACATTGGACCCAATTCTTTTGTGGAGAATATAGAAGCATGTTTTGATGCCCTAGAGAAGCAGTATGTAAGTTATCATTTTGTAATAAATTATTTATTCATTCCTATGCCAACAAATATACCATGAATGTTGTATGACACCAATAAATTTGATGATATTTATGAAGATGATAAGCTTTAAGTAAAGAAAAGTAAGAAGCGAGGATGAAAGGGGAGGGGGAAGGCAATAAGAGAGGGAGAAAGAGAGGAGTGAGTGAAGAAAATATTAATGAAATAATGGACAAGAGGAGGAAGAAAGGGAGATAGGAAGGTTATCTTGAAATGTTTTCGGGGCTTAGATGATGCTCCTAGCAGACAATTAAATAAAACAGAAAAAGTAAAACAAATATATGTAACAGTAAAAATATATATGAATTACTCTTTAAATGGTATACATAATCACTGCAATATAATCCTAGTTCAAGATAGGGCTATAACAATGTATATCTCCCAAATAAGATTATAACCCAAGACATAAAGCAAAAGAAATGTTACTTAATTTAGAAATTAGGTGTTATCACCAGCTGGTCCCCAGAGCTACTAACTCTCCTACCAGCGTTCACAGCTCCACACCAGTCTCTGGCTACTTCCTCTCCAGTTACCACAAAGCAGATACATTCTCTAATCAGACGCACTATGAACGAAAGCAACCACTTTCAAACACACAATCATACTAATATAATGTTTTACACATTCTAATAATATAATTAAAAGTATAAACATTCTTAATTAGCTTAAAGGACTATGTATATAATGGTTCAACATGTTGGCAACACCCACTGGACATGTCTCTCGCTGCCTAACTCACACAGGTGCACACATATATGACAGGAACACTTCTTGTTCACGTAACAGGCCAGCCATGACACCCCTCATATACTATACAATAAACATACAATACTATCATACATTTTAATACATTACCAAATACATCATTTACTTTATCAATGCATATGCAATTCCCTCTCATGCACATCCTACCATCTGAGATGGGTGTATGAGGTATGTTCTCTGTGAGAGCCAGGTTATCATAATCATTACCTGGGTCGTAACACCCACCATGTATCTTTGGGACTCTGCACTGAAACTTCTTTGAAGGAGCAGAAGTCGTCTGTATCTAGATCTCCTGCCTACTTATTCATGGCTGGTGGCTCAAGTTTGGAGACTGGCTCCTTAGTGTCTGTTTATGATGGAACTTCCTGGGCTACAATGGGTTGCTGTTTGACCCATCCTGGGCTCTGTGTGGAGGGTCTTTCTCTCCGGGTAGGGAAGCTTTGTATTCCCCCGACCAGTTCAAGCTAACACCATCTCGGCTTTTCCTTAGGTGAGTTACTGTATGTATTAGGTGTATACTGTAGGTGTTTGCATTGGATTAGCCTATTTTATGAAGATTCTTGCAGTCTTGTCTCCTCTGCACTTGCAAAATGGGACATGTTGTTCTTGTTATCTTGATACTGCTGCTTCCTGGTTGTAGTATGAGGTTCCAATCTTGTCCTGGCTTACAAGTAACCTGCTTTCTTGAGGGAGCCCCTTGTGGCTCCCTGAAGCTACTGTGCTGATACAGTACCAACTTCTGGGTGCCATCAGTTGCAGAGTTCTTTGACATCTACTGAAATCCTAAGCCAGAACCTGGCCCCCTCCAGAAAGATGCAGGGAGCAGTAACACAATTAAAAAAATTTTTAATGAATTTATTATCAATGAATCTGCTGGTTAGAAGTGAGACAGTAGCCTGAAAACAGCCAAAAGATTGAAAATTCACAAAACTATCTCACTCATTCGCCATGCCTCCCCCTCTCGGAGGATAGGGAAAGGAGGCAGCCTGGGTCAGCTGGGTGCTCTACCCTCGGTTCTTTGCCGATGGTATCGGTGCCTGGTTACCTTCTCTTCCTTTCTGGCTCCGATGTCCTATTTTCAGATAAGTGGTGTTTTGTTTTTGTGGCTGTTCCTGTGCATCCTTATGCAGTGTAAGCCAGGAGTAAAGAGCACTTGGAGCTGCATGTGCACTGGGCTACCTTCCCTGTGTGCTCCTTTGTGCTGGCCTTGCAATACCATGGTTTTCTTCCCTGACGTGTTCGGGGGACAGAACAGAGTCCTGTCAGCCAGGTATTTTGGTAATGTTCCTGGTCTTTTGCAGCTGTGAGTAGTCTTGGGTTGTGTGTCGCAGCCGATGGTCTCTTCTTAGTTGTGACACCTATGGGGGTGCTCCTGCCTTTCCAGCAAGTGCCTATTTTCTTCCTTCTTCATGGGTTGATAGTTTCAAGGAGCCACAAGTAGCTCCCTCCAGAAAACCAGTATTGAATGTAATGAAAGGCCAATTTCTGGGTGAGCCCTGGTGGCTCCCCGACTCCCTCCCTTTCCCAAGAAGTTAGGGAGGTTTCAATCGTCATAGAACTAAGGGTGTAACAGCTGGCTGACCCGGGTTGCCTCCCTTCTCCCTCTAAATGAAGTGGGAGGTGGGGCGAATTTTTGATAGTTCGTTTACATTCTTGGTGCAGTTCTTTTGGAGGTTTTAAGGCTGTAGTCTCGCTTCTACCCAGCAATAGTCTGTTTTGTTTCACTGACTTTCTGAGTGCCTTCCTTGATGGCAGACATAAATAAATTCACAGAAATTTTATCGTGTGTGTGTCACTGCTCCCTGCACCTCTTTAGTGAAGGGCCCAGATTCTAAAGCTTGTGATCCCTAGTAGGCCAAAAAGAACTCTGCGACTGATGGTACCTAGAAATTTGGCACCATATTGGTATAGTAGTGTTATGAAGCCACTGAGGCTCACCAAGAAATTGGTGTTTAATTACATTGTGCTGGTTTTTTCAAAAAGGAAGTGGCATGTTTTTGCTGGTCTCAGATAATTGCACGAAAGAAAATGTCCTCTGTTTTTCATGTTTGCCTTCAAGTCTATCACAGGGCATTGTTTTCCCTGCCTTAGTTCTTAATTCATGCTCTTAGTTGCCTTATGCCCAGATTTCCCTTATGTTGGCAATGTGGGCTATTGTTTGTGTCTTTGTTGCAGTCTGAGCTGGAGGCTGCTACTTGGGTCATGTTGTTCATTAAGGACAACATGGACAGCTGATTTTTTACCCAAATTATTTGTGCCTCTTCTGTAGGATGCAGTTTCTGACTATTTTGGCTCATCATACTTGCCAAAAGACCGATGTTGTTAAGCTTCATTGGCTTTTCATACATTTATTTCACTGATTTAATTTATATTTACTAGATATTAATAATAACAATTAAATGTTTCAGCTGAGGGAGTTAAATTTAATAATATATGAGCAGGACCCAGATTTTCCTCTAGAGCTCTATGTTTTCAAGTTCCATTATACTGGTGGTTCGGCAGTTCTCTCCTATTTCAAAGGCTTTAACAAATTGTAAGTACGGTATAAGATCTATTTCTCAATAAAATGTTGTATTATGTATTTTCAATGTTGGTGTAAACTTGATTTTCAACTTGTAAAAGTGGACTTCTTAATTCATTGTTTACTACTGTATATTATTTAACCCTTGGAAGGCTATGAACTTAATAGCCTTCAACACTGCCAGGTGCAAAAAAAAAAAATTGTTTTATAAAAGTGTTTGTTTTTTCTGACCACAGGGGGGGGGGGGTTCGTATGTGACATATTTTGGCTGCAGTAGGGTGAGGAAATCTCAAAATGTAGGCGTTGACTGAGCAAGCGTCGGAGGCGGTCTTCCTGTCCAAGCTGTCAGGCGGGAGTTGCCACAATGATGTTATTACCTAATTATTTCAATGTCTGAATTATTTTTATTTTTTTTTTTTTTTGCAGTAATAATATTCAAAAGTGTGTAGTGTGATATATTTATATAATAAAATGCATGAATTATCACTATACTCAAAATTATGGTGTGCATATTAGTGATTCAATTATGTTCATAAAACCATAACCAAATAGTTTTGCTATAATTGCACTATATACACAGGTTATATATAAGTATCTGCATGTTTTGTTCAACATAACAAACCGCTAAATTGGTGTGGTAAGTCATAACATCGATGAGTGACTGCCACACACTAGCCAGCAAACGCCACCACCTTCCCTCCCTCACCTCGCCTCACTTGCCATCACTCCTCCCACCATAATGTTTTTGCTTTTATTCGCTATATACAGATTTTATATATAAGTATCTACATGTTTTGTTCACCATAACTGTATAATTAAGCTGATTTGGTGCCCAAAGAGCGTAGTAGCCAGCCTAATCAGACAAGGGATATTACTGACATTGGTTTAATAATTATGGTGGGTATATTGTAACTGAGACAAAGCAATAGAGGACATTGGTATCTATCTAGCAGTGCATACCAATGCAACTGGCAGAGAATTGTGGTGGCAGGTGTTCAGTAGGAAGGGGAGGTATTGACAGCGATAATGCTTGTAGTGACATCTATGAGAAAGTTGTGTAGGAAAGCATGTTGCAGAAAAGAGTGTACTGAAATGGACAACTCGCAGGTTATGCTTCACTTTGTGTATATCTGAGAGTACATACATGGCATGCAGTAATCACCACAGGTTGTCTTCTCTGTTGGGTTAATGTAGTTTAATTCTGTACGCTTCATAAAAATGTGGTTAGGTTCAGTTACATTAATATATTTAATTTCATTCTTATTCTCAAATGAAGTACTTAAATATGTACTGTGGAAGATGAATTTTTAATTGTTTATTATTAAAAGTGTATCTTACAGGAATGAAAAGATGTTAAACATTCAGGTCTGTACAATGAAGATGCTTCGGTCAATTATCATGAAGATACAGGAGTTTGATCAGCTTCCAGATAGTGTATCATGTGGCTTCAAGTTATTGTATTATGATGATGGTAAAAGTCAATTTAGTGTTGTTTTGCAATTAAATATATCGGGTCTAATATTTTATTAATTTTGGATTGAGCAAATTGAGGATTGATTGGGGAGGGGGGGAAGGGGAGGGGAGGGGGGGAGGGGGGAGGGGGGAGGGAGGGGGACGAGGACACCGGTGGAAGCAGAGTACCCAAATGAGTCAGAGACATTAGAAAAAACTTTTTCATTGTCAGAGTACAGTAGTTAGTAAATGGAATGCACTAGGAAGTGATGTGGTGGAGGCTGACTCCATACAGTTTCAAATGTAGATATGATAGAGCTCGAGAAGCTCAGGAATCTGTATACCAGTAGATTGACGGTTGAGAGGCGGGACCAAAGAGCCAAAAGCTCAACCTCCGCAAGCACAACTAGGCGAGTATATTTAAGTGGGAATGAAGCAAATTGCCTCGCTGGATAATTTTGTCTTGGGGTGTAAATTTTGTTTTTTGTTTCCAATTAAATGGTGAAACACGTGCATAAATTGTACCAATGAACTAACTAATTATTGAATTTTAATTTGAAATATGTATAGTATATAAAATAACTACATTGTTAGGGTTAATCATTAATTTTTTCTTTGACATTCTAAATTGATGCATCAGTGACTAACGTCTCTCTTCATACATCACCTTTCATAAACTAGTTTAATTGACTGCAGGGTAGGCTCTAGCTTTCGCATGGTAAAATCGGGCAAGATTGTGTATGGCCATCTTGGTTTTCCATATACAGGTATGTTTATGTACTCTCCCATGACCGTAGGTTTGTGCTCATAATTATCTTTCCTACAGTAACTCCATCAGACTATGAACCTGTTGGTTTTGTGCCAGTCATAACCTGTGACACCAAGTTTTCCTCTCATCCAGTAAACATTAAGGTGCGTACATATCTTGTCTTTGCTGTATCAATCACTTAAATTTTATTCAGAAATACTTTACCTTCACATTGTACCTAAGATTTATTATCTTATCTTCAGTTGTGCAAAATATTATGTACTTGGTCTTATTATAAAATAAATTAAATTCCTGTCAATTATGTCCTGTATCACCTTCTCATCCTTCTTGTATGCCTGAGTGAATGTATTTTTATAATACGCTACAATGTTATGGGGGGGATTTTCCCAGCAGGCAATTGTTGAATTTATTTTTCCACACATCTGCTACCACTCCTGTACACAGGGAGTTGTAGCAGGTAGGTAGGAGTACACACACACTGTATGTGTGTGTGTGTGTGTGTGTGTATTTATATACTGTATATATATATATATACAGTATATAAAAGTTGGCATGTTATTTAGGTATTATTAATATAGCATTTTAATATGTGTACTGCACTACAATTTTTTTTTTTTTTTTTTTTTTTTAGATGGGTAGCGTTCAAACATCGCACCACAAAGTGAGTCTTAATGTTTCAACGGCTTACAATGGCAGCTTGCTTAGTAGAGCTTGTGATACAGAATACCACCCTTGTCTTATGGTATGTATTCATTTCATATTTGATTGATTATATATACACACACACCCCTCACAGTTATGGCCAGAGCCACCTGTGTGTGTGCTTGTATATGTACTTGCATGTGTGTGTGTGTGCTTGTATATGTACTTGCATGTGTGTGTGTGCTTGTATATGTACTTGCATGTGTGTGTGTGTGCTTGTATATGTGTGTGTGTGTGTGTGTGTGCACTTTAATTATCATCTTTATAGATCATGTGAATGAGGCTGAAATAAAGAATGTTTGAATTAATGCCTCTAAGTTTTAACAGATATTGGCAGAGTATGAAAAGCACTAGAGTATAAAGAAAAGCTTATCTTATAGTATAATGACTTGACTCTCCTGTGGATGATTGACCTTTTAACATACAATTAATATAGTTCACAACATAAATGATTGTTGCACATTCTCAATGTGCAAGTGCTAGGTGTGTGGTGGCTTGACACTCCAACCTCCTACTTACCCGCCAAACACACGACGAAACTATGACATTGCTACAACATTTGAACAAGTTTTAACACTTAACCAGTTGTAGCAACCTATATAGCAAGGAGCAAGGAGTAACAACGTTCTAATATGTCATGAAAGTGTTATAACAAGATGTATAAACATTATTACAATTTGTAACAAGCAGCAATAGGGACAGTTATGTTGTGTGTTTGGAGGGTAGCAACTAGATGTCTGCTTATGTGCTTGAGCATTTTTGTGGCATATGAACTTTTCATCTCTTGGCCATTAATTAGTGTCATAGATCATTAACTCAGTTTATTCATAATTTTGTGTGAATCTATATGTTGTTTGTCTCTAACATCCCACTTACTACCTCTCCTAGTGAAGATGTTTTGTTGCCTCTGAATGTTTCCATGACTTCCTCATTCTGGTCCCACCCCTTATGAAGTGTTTGTCATGTCGACGCTGTCAATACCTTAAGTACTGTACCTATCATATGTGGCATGATCATACCTCCTCTCTTCTTTTCTCCATTGTTGTGATTTGTAGTTCATAACCTGCCTTCATAGCTTAGTTCATTTGGTTCAGGGACTAAATTGGTAGCAAATCTCTCAAATTGTTCTAGGTTTTAAATTCACGTATTTAGGTGTGGCCTTCATTCCGGTGTCATGTGTTTCATTGTTCTTACAATTATGGTGTGTAATATCCATTTTTTTTTTTTTAACCTTGTACTGTGCATCACTCTGCTGTCTTGTATGTCATAATGTTGCCATAAGTTTTCACGTTTCTTGTTCAATTTGCCATATGCAAACTTTGTGTTTCCTTCGAAAGATAACATACTATGACAACCTCTTGGACATGTTAATCATGCCTGGATTATTATGGATCTCATTACTTTAAACAACAATGTTACCTGTTACATGTGCAGTACTTTGACAAATTAGAACCTTAATTTATTTCAATCATATCTATTGTTGCTGACACTAGCTGCAATCAGATACCTTGGATCTTGTCAATGGCAATGAGCATCCCCGTGTAAAAAAAAAATCTTCTCCATGCTATGAGCTTGACATACATCGTTCTTTGAAAGGTAAGTTTATGGCTTATAACGTGCACCCATGCACATGCATGGAGTACACCTACATGCACATACACACGTGCAGACAGGCATGTACTCAACTAGGTGAGTACATGGAGGCAGACAGGCATTCACACTCATGCACACCTGTTTATTCTACTATTATAAATTCAACACAATTGCCAATCATCACAGCAAGTGCCATTTCAGTATTGTATCACCTCTGTTAGAGCAATATAGTTTTTAGTACCTTTGCAACTGTTCATAATTCTTTAGTGTTAACATGATGCTCACAACTATTATTGCTTTTGTCTTTATTAATACTTAGAGCCTTCTTGGGTCACTTTGATGGTTGATTTACTTTTAAATTACACATAGTATATCTTGTCATTATGATATCATTGTCAGTGTATGAGTTAGTTATCAAGGTTGATAGGAGAAGATCAGCACTATTCTAGTTGGGAGAGAGAAATCTGCCTTTGTCATCTTATTCATCCCAGCCTTGCTTAAGGAGGCAGGGCTTAAAATATCATTCAGTATCAAGTGACCTGATTAAGCAATCTCCGTTCTGTCCCAAGAAGTCTCCTCTTAAGTGGGCTCTCACCTGGCACCTCCTTTTCATTCCTTTCTCCCCCCCCCCTTTCTTTCTGGTCCAGCTAACTTATCATTATATTTTCAATCTGTCTTGTCATTTCCTCGTGGTGTACCGTACTTATTTCTTCTTGTCTCGCAATTTGGCATTTCTCAGACTAGTAAAGTTTTCACTAATTTTAGTTACTTATTGTTTATTTTAACTTCAAATTGTTACTTATGTTTTTTATAATAAATTTCAGTTTCATGCCTGCGGCTTTCATTCTACATCCAAAAAAATTTGAATGAGTGATAGGTTTACTTAGTAAATTTTAATGCTTCACCTAATACTAAATGTCATATTTAAAAAGACAGTTTAGCAAATTGTTAACAGTATTATAAGGCTGAATTTAAGTGCTAGATAATATAATTTATATATGTTTAGGTATAAATTTTTTTGGTAAATATTGCTTTGATATGAGAATTATTAGTAAACAATCAGTTTTCTAATAATCAAAAGATTAAGAGCTGACCAGTTAATAACAAATATTAGTTGATCACTTTGGATAGACATTCTGGAAGATACTGTAAAGCTAAGTAGTGTGGTAGATGTTTCATTCAGATTTACTACATAACAATTAGTGCAGCCCCTGAAGCCCCCAGGCCTTAATCCAGCCCCCAGTACAACGTGTTAATATATACATAGACACACATCACAAATAAACATATTGCCAAACATTCTGAGAGGTAAACATATACATTTCCTCCTTCACAAGTAGTATGCTATCAAAAGTATTTGTGTGTACGTCTGATAACATGCTACTTGTGAAGGAGGAAATGTATATGTTTACCTCTCAGAATGTTTGACAATATGTTTATTTGTGATGTGTGTCTATGTATATATTAACACGTTGTACTGAATGGGGTGAGAATAGCTTGAGCTACCTCATCCCTTTGTGTGTATTTTACCTCAATAAACTTATTTCAATTTCAATTTCAATTAGGTAAAGCTCTGTCATAAATTAAATTTAATATAGTACAGTACAGTAGAACATTTCATTGTATACTCTTTTGGGGAGGTTGTTACATAATTTGGCACTCAGTGCTTTTCTTCATTAATAATAATATTAATTTATTAAATAATAAGTATTAATGATTAAATAATAATTGATTAAAATAAGATATATAAAATAATATCAATTAATATTGCCACAGTATTTGCATTTATCATCATCTTTATTCTTCACCAGCAGTATCAGGAGCCAAGAGGAAAAAGATTCGTGGTAATTTGGGTTTACTTAGAAACCCTGAAAGGTCACCCACACTGAGAAAGAACACCACCTTGTACTCTGCTCAACACACGCTGCTTCATCAAGAATTGCTTCACAAAAACTTTGACAACAGTAAGTTAGTAGATTAAATATTTTAATTTTTTCTTTGATAGTTTCTTAACCCTTAAACTGTGCAATACATCAATAGCTGTGGAGAACTGTCATGGAATTACGCACAATTATTGTTGTGTTGGAGTACCGCGGCTACACAGGGGTTGTACCTCAGATACAGTACTTCCATTATGTCTAGATGCTATTAAATTTTTATTCATCCAAACAGTTCAGTAAAGTAGGTTGTCTACATTTATAACTAAAAGAATACCTACTAATAAGCTTAGTCATCATTAGATATCATTTCAGGAGGCAGGAAAGGTTCCTCTATTTTTATTACTTTTTAGTAAGAAAAGAAGTGCTCTTTACATAATATGCTAATGAGCAGAGTGCTAGTTGCGTGAAGGGCTGCTAGTTTGTTTCCTTTCAGGGGGAGTTTCTTTGTTCTTTCTGGATGTAAATTGCAATTTTCACCAGACTATTGCTTGTTTTGTATCTCCTATCTTTCTGGTTGCCTTTCCCAGTTGATGGTGCACTATGACATACTGTACTTTAAATGTAAAGCGCTCATAGGCCATTGCTTCCTGCGCCTCTCTGAGGGGGGGCCAGGTTCTGGTGCGTGGTCCCCGGTAGGCAAAGGACTCCTGTGACTGATCCAAACTAATAAAGCACTAGATCAGTTCAGATAGCTTCAGGGAGGACATGAGAACATAAGAATAAAGGTAACTGCAGAAGGCCTATTGGCCCATATGAGGCAGCTCCTATTTATAACCACCCAATCTCATTCACATATGTCTAGCCTATGCTTGAAACAATCAAGAGATCCTACTTCTATTACGGTTCGTGGTAATTGGTTCCACAAATCAACAATCTTGTTACAGAACCAGTATTTACCCAGGTCTTTCCTAAATCTAAACTTATCCAATTTATACCCATTGTTTCTTGTTCTGGCTAGTGTTGATACTTTTAATACCCTATTAATATCCCTTTTGTTGTGTCCATTCACTCACTTGTACACCTCTTATCATGTCATCCCTAATTCTTTGCCTTTCTAGAGAATGTAATTTAAGCTTTGTCAATCTTTTTTCTTTTTTCGTAAGACATGTATCTGATTTGGGGGATTAACTCTGTCATCCTACACTGGCCATCCAGACGAGCCTTGGGAACCTCCGTGGCTCTCCCAAAAAAATGTAATTTCATTGCATTCAATGCTGTTTTTTTCAAGAGTTGAATGGGATGACATTTACTGCAGTTACTGGCTAATGGTTGCATGTACTGGGTCCAAACTCCAATTTTGAAGGCAAGATGATGGGTGTAATTTACAGGATGTGAAAATTCTTTTTCTAAGTACCTAGCAAAACTGCTGTTTTTGTGGGGAACAATTTCTTCACTTGATCAATTGTGCTTAACACAGTGAAAGGGTTAAGATGTTTTGATTTCCATGGTTTGGCATGAGTTAACCTTTGATTGATCTTGCTTATTATTATTTGTCATTGATGTTTATAAATACTGAAAAACAAAATTTAGATTTATAATAACATCAAAGAGCTACTTTGGCAGGAATTATTTTCATCTGTTGTCCATTGGTTTGAAGGCCTTACTTAGTTTTTATTTTTACTGATTCCTTTCATACTGTGTAACTGACAGTGTTGATCTTTGCTTAATCAGTCAGGTTAAAGTAATTAAATATGGATGAATAAATAAGAAAATGAGGCCACACCATTAACTAAACTAGCCATAATCTTCCTGAGCTTGATAGGAGTTTGGGAAGCTCTGATATGCTTTGGACACTCTGCATTAAAAGATTTGTGTAAAATTGGGTATTGCAGACACTATCTGAATTGGTTTCTTATTGTCGGGAACAGAACACTTGTTAGGCTTATTGAGGTCTCTCTAGGTCAATGACTGACCATATCCAGGATGCAACCCACAATAACAGTCTCCGGACTTCCTGGTACTCATTTACTACTAGGTGAACAGGCACATCAAGTGTAGGGAAGTGGGCCCAAACCATCGTTCCTTCCGGAGAAATCAAACTCTGGTCCAACTGATTGTGGCTTTGTATTGGACATTGTTAATTTATTTTAATTGTTCATTCTGTGTGCTTAAATAGGTGCTCTTTTTAATTTATATATATTTTTTCAGGTGATATAAATTCAACTTCTTGGTTAAATACAGCATCTACTAAAGATAAGAATCTTTACTCTTTATTTGGAAGAATGGATGTGATTCGATGCCCTTGTGGTGTGTGCAAAGAGGATGGTCCCACGATTACGTGTGTTCTCTGCAATCTCCGTCAGCACGCGGTTAGTTATAATAATAATAATGATGAGAAAATTGATAGGAGCCACGAGGAGGATTAAACCTGTATGCTTGGTGCTCCTAAGTACACACCCTTAGACCACTACACCTTTACATGTTCAAAAGCATTGCAACCTGGGATTCAACTGAATCCTCTAGGGGTCTTGAGGCTTCTACTGAAGCCCAACCATGGTTTCATGCATTGCCCCCGTACACTCTGGTTGTGCTCTTTAAATGCACAACAAAACACATAATTGGCCTAGGGTGTGTACTTGGGTTTCCATCACAGAGGTTTATGCCTCTGTGATGGATCCGGCTTTGTTTGAGTTCGGCTCCTCGTCCTCTTATTGGGTGCATTATGGGAGCTAAATTAAGTTGTAAAATGTTGGGAGTATCTAGAAAATAAAATTGGGTAACTTGAATCCTTGTTAGTGATTACTATGTAGAATTTGATCGTCTTGCTTGGCTCTTTTCCTCTGGTTAGGAGAATATCTTTGTTCCAAAGCTTATAGAGAAATTGTTAGTCTAGTCTTTTTTATTGTTTAGAGTTGTCCTTAGCATAATTCTCTCAATATGGGTAAAGATTCATAATTTTTTTTGTAATGCTGTTTGTGAATACACATCATTGTTTGTTTCTTTATATGTGATGTATATATTTATATAGGATGTATTTATATGTATATACTGCTTAATAATACTGTTGAATGAGATTTTATCACTATTCATTCTTCCCAGCTTGGTGCCTTCTTTTGATAATTACTTATGATTCGTTCTCACTTTGTGATATTTTTTCTTAATTCCTTTACAGGCTTGTTTCAAGTTGTTGGATGTAAAAGATACACATTTCATCCATGTATGTGAATTATGCACTGACACAGCCCATCCCTGCACTGACTATACCCTCGTGAACACAGATCTTGCCCAGGTAATGTACAAGATACAGTTTACATACACAGGATGGCTACTGCATCTTGGGCATTCATCCCCAGTCTGAGAAGCTGGAGGAAATTTTTACTGTAATGGTTGTTATTACATTATAATTGTAGTCTTACCTCTATTACTTCTGAAGTCATTGTACAGTATAACAACTACTGTACTTTAATACATGCACTGCTGCTGTACTACATCTATTGAACAGGATTATATCTACAATCATTATATAGCCTTAATTATACTTTTACAAATTAAATTTTATATTGATAGAAGAGAAATATCTTTTGCACCTTGTGAACTAGCTATTCTGCAAATACACTTGTGTTCCTGCTTCCAAATACTGTACTTAGTAAGAAGAATTGGTTCCCCACAAAACTAGAATTGTTGTACTGCTTAGTTGCTTTGATGCTAATAACATTATTGTTTCTCGCATAAAGTGTTTGTTTTATTAATTGTTAAATTTAAAGTGCAGTATAATAAAGTTGCATGGATTGGTTTATATCATTCCTGGTTATGGATAAGATTTCGTATGAATCGTCCTGAGGAAAATAATTAATTTTAATAAAAACATTTTTCCTAAAGGTGAGAGAAACTTGTTTATTTCGCCGTTTGTTGGTCCATCTGCGTAATGACACGAACTACCACACCCCTGCCTCTTTGGCCCAATTACTGCATGTGAGCACGAATGTGGGCAAAAGACTTATGGTGCGTTTGCAGTCTGAAGGTGCCTTGGTCTGTGAACCGTGTAATGAGTAAGTACAATTTACTACAATAGTTGCATGTATTGCAGCAGCATTAAAAAAGAAATTGTGTTGCTATTTTGTGCTAGTCTATTTTGTGCTTTGCTGTCATGATTGTAAGTTCTCGCTGGTCATAGTACAAAGTGACAGTGATGTACACACATATAAACAAACACTAAGTTGAGAGCAGACTTTTATTTGGAGATAACATTTTGCTTCAAATGAATTTACCAGCATATCCTGTCAAAATCTGCTCTCAACCTTGTATTTCTGTGCAATAGTCCGTGGTTTGGCACAGTGGATGATGTGCATGTAACTCAGTCAGGTTAAACACAACTGGTCTTGGCCTACACTGGATGTGTGTGTTCACATTGACAACCTTGCTCTCGGTTATGACAGTCTTTGCTAACTAGGCCTCTTTTCTCAAAAAAAAAAAAAATAACAAAAAAATTAACTATTTTCCTATTAGTTTAGCAGGATTGATATTCATCCCCCAGGTCTAAGTAATTGTCTAGTTGTGCTTGAGGGGAGTTGAGCTTTTGCTCTTTGGTTCCACCTCTCAACTGTCAATCAACTTGTGTACAGATTCTTGCTTTTATTTACCTGTTGAATTAAAATGACCACACATTATCACTTTATAATACAGTAATATAAATACGTATAATGCAACTAGTATGTACTGATATGGTTATAAATTATTTTCGCCTATCTGTTTAATTCTGGTATCTTGCCATATATGAATTATATTAACAATGACAAGATTGGTTATTTAATTCTTTATTGTTATGAATTTATCTATTGCAAATGTATACTTTAATTTATCTTTAAGCAATTGCAATGTATCAAATATTGGTTTGTTAAATATTGTAATAGATAAATTCAAGTAAAATCCAATTTGTTCATTATGATGTTTATATAGACTTACTACTTTCAAATACTGTACAGTACTGTAACTTTATTTTCTTCTCCTCTGAAAGTCCCCGAGGAAGACTGGTGGATCAGACTATGCTGCTTTTATACGTTATCCCTTATGTCTTTGGCAAGAATGATCTGCCCTCTAGTCCATCAGTAAGTATTGTAGCTAGCTCAAGTATAACATCACATTCTTATTTTAATAAAGTTTTTTGCTGGATAGTATGCTTTGTCAGGAAAGGCAGCTTAAGTCTTTATACATGTACTGGGTCTCTCCTTCACCATCAAGTCTTTGCTAGAAATCTGCTTTAATAACTGTATTTTAAAGTGTACTCTAATCCCATTCTATTAAAAGAAAAACAATCATAAAAATTATCTTGATTTAAATTGTCACTGTAATAGCATTAATAAATTTTGGATGTGGCAACCCAGATGAGTGAAGATGTAGATGCTGTTTGACCAGTAGCTGAGACAATGTTGATAAACATGATAAATATAATTTATTATTTTCTGGTAGGGACCTCTCAGTAGCTCGCTGAGCTGAACTCTGATACCTACAAGCCTTATCCCATCACACTGGGCTTCCAAGACCCATCCATCACTACTGCATTGTTCCCAAACTGTGGGCCATGGCCCCCTTGGGAAGCCTTTTTTTGCACTATGTAGGGGGGGGGGGCATAAGTAGAGGCAGTGTGCAGGTTATGATACTAGGGAATAGGGGGGAACCTAGCTAGTGGATATATTAAAAAAAAATTGAATACAGAATGCATGAGGCCATTAATAAGGCTGCTGTATGAGAAGGTAATGACCATAGAGAGTTCAGGAACCACTGGCCTACTGGTTCTTGGATCAATGATAAGTTCAATCCTTACTCGTATGGATTGTGATGGTTCTGACCCATCACAATCAGTACAAGTTAGGTCATATTGTACAGTATTTGTATTTTTTTCCAGATTGCTATTGCTTCCCCCCATCTGATTATATACCTGTATCACAGCCTGATATTTTTCAGGATGTGCTTCTGTGTTTTTAGACCCCAATGGCTTTTCCTGGTGTTTCCATCATGTGACATACTGAATTTTGGAGTTCTTTCACCATCAAGTGTGTGTGTGTGTGCCATTTGTTGGTGCTAGATTTCAGTTTTGGCTGAGCAACATTCTAGTGGTTGCTTATCGGGCTGGCTTTGGACTGCTCTGCATTTCAGTCTCATTTGTTAGTTCAGACTGCTCAGCTGTTTTAGGGTGGGGGTGTGCTGGAGCCAACCCTTTCTTGTCAACATTGGCCAATTGCTTATTCATCCATCAGCTGCCGCACTGTTTGTAGTGTATCTGCTATTAAGCATGCCTCACAACTGTTTCTGTTCTTGTTACCCATCTTAATGCATCACTCATATGCTGTAGTTGCCTTTAAATGCCATCTGTACATTATGTTCTCTTTGGTGAATGTCTCTGAAAACAGTGGCATTTTTGTCAAGCATGGCTTGTGGTTGGGATGAAGGCAATGAAATGCTCTTGTCATGTATGCCCCAGTAGCTTCCATTCCTCACACTGTGTCTTGTGGGATTATTGGGGTTTTCATGGACAGCACCAGAGCTATCTTGGTGCAGTTAGATGTGTCATGGTATTTACTCTGCATGTCTCGGTTGTAACTTGGTAAGGGTACAGGATGGACAGAAATTTCACTTGCCTTTCTTTTCATGTGTGTTAGGTTATTTATTTTCATCCCATTATTGTGGCATCATTTGTCTTGTTTACATAGGGGTGCCTAACTTCCTTCAAGCAGTCACTTGTGCCTTTGCTTTCTGTAGAATTTTTCCCCAATTTTATGATGGTCTCTGATCCTCTGCTATCTTGCCTTGCAGAGTGAGCCTAATTCTCGTACTGTACTGTACTGTACTTAAGTCAAGCTGGGTCACGGGGAGGGGCATAGTGTGTTGGCTAAGGCTTAGCGGTACCAAAATTAAGTTCAGGAATTTACTGGGGGCCCACCAGAAGGCATTTCATTACAGTACTTTAAACACTTTATTCTTATTTTAGTAATTGACTTTTTTTTTTTTTTTTTTTTTTTTTTTTTGCAGATGTATTCGCCATCATTACAAATCATTAGAGACATTGTCAGCTGAGTGAGTAAAATTTTTATAAAATAATGAATAGTTTTCATCCGACATTAAAATTAGTGATAAAATGTGAAACATGTAAAGGAATGTGGGGGACAAGATTTACTGTGCAATGTAAAAACTAACCCACTGCATTGTTAAGAGATAATCATAAAACAAACAAAAAAAGAGGGATATACAGTCTTTTATTTACTTTGAAATAAGATGGAAGATGATTGTTTAGATTTCTTTAGACTTGCACTTTTTTCTTTATAATATGTTTTATCTGATGGTTTTAAGACCTATAAAAAATAGATTTATTTCTTATTTATATTACCTATACCATGAAGTTAATGTAAATATGGCACTGTATATAGAAAAATTGATAGTGCAATAAATATCTCCTGAGAGAAATTTGTTGTTGAATATTAGAAGGTTGGTAATTGAAATGAGCAAAGGTTTAGTTAGATTTCAGTGGCAAATGCATTTTTATAAGTACTATAATTACATAGTGACTTGTTGAGTTACTGCAAAACTTGCTTTCCTAACAACTTTATCCTAATTTATGTTGTTTGTAGCATTTGCATCATTTGTTTTTATAAGGTGTTCTCAAGTGGTCAGAGCAGTCGGCTCACAACTGAATGGCTCCTGGTTCCGTTTCAATTCAGGACCTGGCGTTTGATCACATTTCCTTGCACATGATGCCTCCATTCATCTAGCCAGTAACTAGGTACTTGGAAGTTAGGCAACTGTTGTGAGTTACATCCTGGGGGAGGTCAGTCATTGCCTAGTGGGACCTCAATCCCAACAGGTTTGCTGCTCCCGATGCTGGGAAATTGCAAAGTAATTCCCTTATTATTTGTATCTGCTATTTTTCCCCATATGTCTCATTAATAAGTTGGAAAGGCATCAGACTGGAGAAGATAGGAGAGCACTATAGGATAAGGAAAAAATGCTCAAATTGATATACTGTATATAAAATAAATGCACAAGGAAATCACAATGTGATGTATCAATGAGAAAATCAGTAGGAGCCATGAGGAGGATTCAAACCTATGCTCTGTATACTCCCAAGCACATGCCTTAGACCTCTACACCATGATGTGTTCAAAAGCAATGCAACCTGAGATTCAACTAAATCCTCTAGCGGTTCCAAGGCTTTAGCTCAAGCCAAGTCAGGATTTTCACCTCTCGTGGCTCCTTCTGATTTTCTAATGGATGCATCAGGTTAATGCGACATCTTTGTGCATTTAAAGAAAAGCGTTGGAGGTGAACTCCTTTTACCACACAATGTTGCATATTTGAGGGACATTTTCAAGTGCGAAATGCCGCTTGAAAATCCGTGTTCAAAAAAATGCAGAATGCTATATACTGTACAATTGAATTAAATAATGTTAACTAAATAAAGATATTTTAATTTGCAAGAGAATAATTTTTATAGAGTAAGCAATGCTTACCTTACACCTTAAGAATACATACTGGAATGAATCGGGCCAGTATATATGCCTACTAACATGTGCAACTGGAACAAATGTGGACATAGAGAATACTAGATAGTTTTCTTCAAGAAGTGCTGGTTCAACCGGACTGTGGCGGATCTGTTAGCTGCTGCAAGCAACAACCTGTTGGACCAAGTTGTCACAAGCCAAACCTGGCCCCGGGCCAGGCTTGTGGAGTAGAAAAACTCCCAGAACCCCATCCAGGTACATACCAGTACTGTAATAAGTTGTATTTCATCTCTCTACCCTTCTCTCTACAGTGTATAGTATACATATCATTATCACATTTCCAAGAGCCCCTTCAGTGTTATTCATCTGTTACTTCCCCTCAACATTAATTTCATTGTGTTTGGATAATATATATTCAGATTTATATATTAATACTTTTATTCTGAAAAATGCTATAAAAATATACAGTATACTGTAACGGTTTATATCTATGACTTTGCATACTCAATATAAATTAATGTACAGTATACTAAATATAAATTAATGATTCATTGTTTGAATATGAATATAGTGTATGATTGACAAAGATTTATGAATATGACTGGGGGGGGATTTATTAAATGAGTCATAAATATGATCAAGTGTGGAGAGCAACTAAATGGTTAATGAATTAGTTAGCATTATTAAGGAAATGCCGAGGTGTGTGATAAATTTAACATTGTACAAGTACAGTATGAATCGGGTGGCAGCTGCAGCACCACGAAGAGGACTGATCAGGGCCATTTTCCCGCCCCTGTAACTAGTTGGTACTCCAGGAAGAGGATGCTGGACCTCAGACTATCATATGACGTCTTTTCTCTAGTTGGTAGCCTGGACTAATGTAGATTGCCTCATTGTTATTGCTGCTCAGGAACCTGGAGGACAATTTTAATTAGGTGTGGGCTCAAAATATCATCAGAAGTATATCATGAAGTCATAAAATTTGACAATTTGGTGGGCTTTTAGCATTTTGATACTGGATTCATTATTAATTTATGTCGTTAAATGTATTCATCTATGACAGTTATTTAGAGAAATTTCCAAAAATTTACGATGCACAAACTTCACTCAAACTTAATCAAAATTACATAGTACGTACAACTAGTTTAGAGCCGAGTATATTTTGTTAACTTAGAGGTTTTGGTAGAGTATTTTTTTATAGTGATATGACAACATTTAAGTAAATGTTCTAAAACAAATTATATAATCTCCTATAATGTAAAATTACATTAATATTTTATGAGCCTAATTCATGTTTTGATGTTACTGTACTGTACTTTGATAAATGTTTTGACTTTCTTAAATTATTAAGGCTTCAGAAATTTAAAGACAACTATCACTAATGTTCAATAACTGTCCAAGTGTTTAATAAAGTATAGTATGTTACCCAAACTCAGCCAAGTAGTCTTAAGTTTGGCTACCATAGATAGTACATATTTGATAAGTGGTGAGCATTGTGAACTTTATCATTTTGATTCTAGGCACAAGTAAAATAGGTGATTAGTGAGGAGTACTTACCAGAGAGTAGATTGTTGTGTGGCAGGTGATGGGGCTCTGACCAGCCTGACATATAGAGTGTATCTGGAGGCCACCTTGGGGTCACACACAATGTTTCCAATTACAACCCTTTTTTCACCATCCCATATTTCTACACGTAAGGTGCAACCTCTGTAATATAAGAGTATTTCATAAATTTTGGTTACTTTATAGTAAATATTTTGCCTACTTATGGTTTCAATGAGATATTATAGCTCCATAAACATTGACAGTTTATCAAATATATATTAAATGGAATTACTATACATAGAAAAATATTATATAGGATCACTGTATATGTTACCTTTATGGTAGGCTAGACACTTATAAAGTTTGTACCTAATTTGAACAGAATTCAGTTGATAATATGTAGACATTACAAACCTAATTCCATTAGCTTCACCCTCCACCATTCTGACGATATCCCTGACAACACGTTCAAGGAAATCCTGTGGCAGAAACACTTGCACACTAGTCTTGGCTCCTGGTAGAATCTTGTTTAACCATTGAGCTCCAGGTCCACCCTATTTATGTAAATAAATTATTAAATATTCATCATAAACAGGATTGCACTAAAGATTTTTTACATAAAATTATTAAAGATGGTCAGTTTTGTTGAGAAGTGTGAGCAAGGGTAAAGATAACAACCTGGGTGTTGTGTGCTGGCATCGGACGGTGTCCGTGGGCGAGATTGAGCAACCGGTTCTTACGCGCACGGTGCACTAGCCCCATAATGTGTCTAGCAAGCAAGGCTGCTGCTGCCTCATCCTCTATATCCTCGTAGTCGAAGAATTCTGGAACAGGAATTTATTCTTAGCCGTCTAGTAGGTGATGGGTCTGTACTTTTCTATTATATGTTGGCTCTACATCTAGATTCTCTAATAAAGTATACTTGACTGTAAATATTGTGATGGTCAATGATATTTTCCATGGTATATTTTTATAGCCATTATAACCCAACCTGTTTATTTTCCCTTAAATTTACAAATTAAAAAATATTAAAAGAATTATATATAATATCTATAATACTTGTTATAAATACGTTATCAGTATGGGAGGTCAATTGCATCGAACCCAAATGTAATAGTAGGCAAACCACTTTATACTGTATTATATACAGTAAGGTAATACAGCCATGGAATTGTTTAGCCACTAATAGCATAAATGCCAAGACAATACGCTAGTTTAAAACGTGGAGGAAAAAATGCCTCGGATAATAGGGAGCCTTGTTCCTGTTGCAGCCACTACGGATGATGACTGGTAAATTCAGGTAAATAACATACTGTATTGAGTTTATTTATTATCGACTCCATTTCTTTTCTGTGTTAGTGAAAAAGGTTACAAGAAGAACATAATGGGCTCAGGAACTGAACTCCCAAAAATTCATTTAGATACAGCATTGACTGTCCAAACTGCATTGTCCCACTTAGTTATGCATCTCCTTGTGGAATATCCTGATTTTCAGGATGATGGTACTGTGTTTTGCTTTCTTGGTGATAATGATACCTTTTGATATCGCTCACCTTGCATGCTTTTGTTCTTGTATTTGTATCCTCGGTGATATTTAATGCATTTTGAATATCTTGCATTACTGATGGTGCTACATAGTGTCCCCGGCTTTTAAGTAATTATAACAAAAAAAGCATAAAGTATTATGAGCTACTTTCATAGTTTCCTTACATCACTGACAGCAAGAGGTTTTAACAATGAGTGAAAGTTTGTTACCCCTGCACTCCCCATGCTCTGTCACTTTGTTAATAATAAAATAGGTATATACAGCAATGTGCTGCTGTCCTATTCAACACAAAGAATTAGTGTAGATTGGAAACTAGCCAAGTATATCAAATATCCCCATTATGCAGGATGGTTAGTCATACCATATATGGTATCAGGTGAGAGCATGAAATGCAAGTCTAATATATTAGCCTGCACTAGCAAATACAGTACTGGGTAGAGCACAATAATATCTTAAAATATTCTTTAATATATGAAGTAGTTACAGATCCTAAACCAAACCATTTGGTTTGAAATCATTGATAACAGGGCAATCACATATTGATGAGCATGTTTAGCTCTTGTTTTCATAATGTACAAGTAGTGTTCACCATTGAGGGATTCATTACCTGCAATCAAATGCCAGAGATATTGATATCCCAGCCCAGTTTAGGCAATTAGTGTCACTGCCTTGTGCTGTCTGTACATACAGTTCATGGTTCTAAGCATGTCATAACTCTACATATAGTTCCACAGTATAGGAATGAGGGGGGGGGGGATCAACTACCTCCCACAGGGTGGGTATGGGGGGGGTCCACTACTACCCACAGGATGGGTATGGGGTCCACTGCCTCCCACAGGATGGGTATGGGGGGGCAGGGGGGTCCACTACTACCTACAGAATGGGTATGGGGGGCGGGGGGGGGGGGTCCACTACTACCCACAGGATGGGTATGGGGAATTCACTACCGCCCACAGGATGGATTATGTAGGTGCATAATAAATGAATTATTGTACTGCGAGTGCGTACTCGCATGCACATATTGATGAATAAAGATTAAGCGACCCAAGAGTCACACGCAAACGTGGCGACAGGGTGCGCAGTGTTTCGCAATCAACAAGTAACTATAGCCCACAGGACGTAAGTTCGAACCCTCGTCACGGCCCTTGTAGATTTGTTCATTTGATGCATCACTCTGTTGTGATTTCTGTATGTAACTATAGCCCTCTACCCAAAGGCTTGATTATTGGGTTATTATCGAGTGCAAAATGTCTAATAAAAAAACGGTATAATATTGACTTTCTAAAAAGTAGTATATAAAAGCTAGATAAAGCAGTTTAAAAATCTCCAATTTTGATGTTGATCTAACTGGTGGAGTCGATTGGTACATAGGTGGGGGGGGGGGCCTACTTGTTTGACCTTGGTAAGCATCTTAGTTGCCAGGGAACAGTCCAGCCATGGCTCTGTTTTGTCTACTGTCTCTGAACTTTTGTTGAACAAAACTTGCATATTACACATCAGTTTACTCCATTTGTTTTAAAATAACTTTTTTCTTGCAATGTTCACTATATATGTGTGTGTGTGTAATATATATAATACACACACATATATACTGTAGTGAACAAACTGCGTAATATGCAAGTTTTGTTCAGCAAAGAGGTTCAGAGGCAGTACACCAAACATTGAGCCATGTTACCATATAATATATATATATAATATATATATATATATATATATATATATATATATATATATATATATATATATATATATATATATATAAATATTATATACACACATTATATATATATATAAATATATTATATATACACATTATATATATACATATATAAATAATATATTATATATATACATATAGTATAAAACCCCAAGGTCTTCTCAGAATACTTTTTATTTTCTTCTCCGAGGCTATGGGTCCCCACATTGGTGCCAGAGGTGGTACCCTCACAAACTTTTATATATATATATATTATATATAATATAATATATACAAGCACCTAATTTTACACACAATGGTAAAAGTGTGTGTAGTACAACAATGTTTAGAGAACAATGAAGTTACTCGAGGCTAGTTTGTGAGCTTGTCTTTGGACTGCTGTAGTGATGGCCTTGTCATGTGGAGGCGGCAACAAAGTTGCAAGTAGCACGGGCTATGGTGAGCCCGTAGTGGACTTACAGCCCCGCTTTTGTGTCAGGTAACTGCATTTAGGAGTAAATTAGGTATATTTTGTAGTTGCTCTGCACAGGTAATTAGTTTTATCATGTTTTGTTTATTAATATTTTTTTTCTTTTTTATACTATACGGTGTTGTATAAGCATTTTTTCTGAAGTCACACGACCGCCCCTCGCGGTCACCTGTCCCTCAATAGAATTCTTGACGACTCTGATACTTTTGATATCGTTCGCCTTATGCGTTTTTGTTCTCATATTGGCATCCTTGGTGATATTTAGCGCCCTCTGATTATTCCGCACATATGATGGTGCTACATAGCCTTCCCGGTTTGGTGCCTTCTTTTGATAATTACTTACTTTCTGAAGTCACAATAATCACGGGCAGCGGAGATGTATTAATATAATGAAGATTTTTGTTTAATTTCAAGGTGTGGCTCACGTTTCATGAGGTTGGGTGGCTTACCTGAGCTGAGGTGAGACATTTGCGTCTTGTAAGTGTTTTGTCGCACCACGCGAAGCATCTTGCTATGGTTGTTGGTGGAGGTGGTGTTCACACACTACTATTGGCTTCCCACGCCTCACTGCCACTCTCACGATGCTTACGAAACGAATAGTAAGTAAAAACTAACCTGCATCAGACCTTATATACTAATGGGCGGCTGTGACGTCGGGGCCCCGCCTACAGGTCCTGCTCTCTGATTGGTCAAAATAGTTGCATATAACATGTGAGGAATCACTTGCAATTCAACACTGTTATCACTTTTACTGTTTATTAATCCGATCAATAGCTCGTAGTCTGACCATCTTCAGGCGTTTAAGAGTATTATATGCACGTGTTTAATAATATAATAAACCTCACTGAAAAACTTTGGCGAGTTAATTTTGTAAGTGAGAGTAAGCAACTGGGGGAGGAGAACCAGCTTGCATAGTGCCATTGGGACAATTAATTCACAAACTGCTGTAAACCCGTCTCCTCTCGACTCTCTTGTCGTCATTAACTCGAACTTATTACTGAAGTTGCCCTTCTTAAGTTTCGTGAAACAAGTTTCAGATATATGTAATAATATATCTGAAACTTGTTTGTTTCAAGTTATATAATAATAATTATATTATAATAATATAATATAATTATTATTATAATTATATTATAATAATATAATTATTATTATTATGTATATATAGGAGGGGTACCATCTCTGGTGCAAGTGTAGGGACCCATAGCCTCGGAGAAGAAAATAAAGAGTACTCGGAGAAGACCTTGTGGATCCTCACTGAACACTGATATTTTCTTCTCCTACCACCCTTATTCTTTTAGTGTGTGTATATATATATCTAACTTTATTTTAAAATTTCATTACACAAAAAGGGTTACAACATTGGTGATCAAGGTCTCTGTATTTACGTGACTTGGCTGCTTCCCGGTGATTGGCAGCACCTGCCTGTGCGGCACTGAAGTCAACATAGGTGTTGGCTAAAGTTGAAACGCAAGTATAGTCCCACAGCAACTGTCTACCAGGGGTTCACCGTGATCCCATTTGGACGATCGACAGGCTCATCAGAGTTGCGGGGGCATTAGGTAACGGGGCTCTCTCTCTGCTGGACAGCCAGCTGTGGTAAGGCTTCTCTTAATAATTTCGTTAACCTCGCCGTGTGTTGCGTGTCATCCTCCTGTCCTTTGGCAGAGAAGGCCATGTCGTCCGTATCTGTCGGCCTCTGCCTCGCCGCAAATACACCTGTATTCGGTGTGGATTGGGGCAGCGAGGCGGAGAGCCACAGCAATACGGAGGGCCTGCGGTGTGAGACGGGTGCAGGTTGCTGACATTGGGGTTGCTAATAGGAAGTCACCTGCATGGGGAGCTGCTACAGCTCTAAGTCGGGCATTGTCATGTGGTGTTGTCGCAGCTTCTTGGTCGGCAATGGGGCGATCCCAGCTGGATTGCTTATGAGCTTCAAAAGGCGGTGGTTGGGGTGCTGGTCCTGCTATTGTGTGCCTACAAGCAACACTTAGTGGGCCAGCCAGAGGCTTAGGGCCCGGGCAGGAATATCCCTGAAAAAATAGGTTACTAGTCTCCAGACTATTGTGTATCCATTGATTCTGGGACGCCAAGCTTCAGGGATTGATCAATTCAGATACTTGCGCCTGTTAAATAATGTATACATTAAGTTATCAATTTATGCTTCACTCGCGCCAAATACGCAATGAATGCAACAGCCGCTCGAGTACTGTAATTGCGTGGTTACCTCAAGCAGCCAGCTGAAACCGGTTTGTGCTTCATTCGTGTCCTCTGCTTCATCCATGTAATGTAAATACCAATAATTGCCTACAGACCCTAACCACCTAACCTAACTTAATCTAGGCCAACTACCTTTCACCAATTACGTGAGGGAGTCACAATTGGGTCTGACTCTCTTAACAGGACCAATAAGACCGATCCGATCAGTCTATGACCGCGCCCTATCTCAGTACAGTCACCCTGCAAAGTTGAGGAGCCTAGCCCCTAACGTCTGGCCTTCAACTTTGGACAGACAGACATTATCTCTAAGACGTCGATAAATGATTATTCATATTTTGAATGAAGAGCATTTTAAAATTGATTAATGCATCTTTTGTGTCTGCCGCGGAATGAATTTAACCTCTAGGGAGCCATTGGACAACTTTTGACTCGTGTTTTGAGGACGAATTGCATTATTTCGCGGTGTTAATCACTAGACTCGTGAAGTGCTTTATAAGAATCCTGAAAATATTGAGGTTTGGATATTAATGAAAAGTAGACATATTTTTGTTTAACAAATGACACAGCAATGTCAAAGTAGATATAAAGGTGTGATCCAATACTTGAGAGATTTATTTTATTTGAAGATTATATTCTCATTTCAGGGACAAGAAAGGGTCCCATACGATCAGGTTCATCTCTCTCTCTCTCTCTCTCTCTCGCCCTCTCTCTCTCTCTCTCTCTCTCTCTCTCTCTCTCTCTCTCTCTCTCTCTCTCTCTCTCTCTCTCTCTCTCTCTCTCTCTCTCTCTCTCTCTCTCTCTCTCTCTCTCTCTCTCCTCCCTCTCTCCCTCCCTCCTCCTCCCTCCCTCCCTCCCTCCCTCTCTCTCTCTCTCTCTCTCTCTCTCTCTCTCTCTCTCTCTCTCTCTCTCTCTCTCTCTCTCTCTCTCTCTCTCTCTCTCTCTCTCTCTCCCCCCCCCCCTCTCCTCTCTCCCTCCCTCTCCCTCTCTCCTCTCTCTCTCTCTCTCTCTCTCTCTCTCTCTCTCTCTCTCTCTCTCTCTCTCTCTCTCTCTCTCTCTCTCTCTCTCTCTCTCTCTCTCTCTCCCCCCCCCCCCCCCCCCTCCCCTCCCTCCCTCCCTCGCTCTCTCCCCTCTCTCTCCCTCTCTCTCTCCTCTCTCCCCCCCTCTCTCCCTCCCCCCTCTCTCCCTCTCTCTCTCCCTCTCTCCCTCCCTCCCTCCCTCTCTCTCTCTCCCTCTCTCCCTCCCTCTCTCTCTCTCCCTCTCTCCCTCCCTCCCCTCCCTCCCTCTCTCTCTCTCCCTCTCTCCCTCCTTCTCTCCCTCCCTCCCTCTTTCTCCCTCTCTCCCTCCCTCTCTCCCTCCCTCCCTCCCTCTCTCCCTCTCTCTCTCTCCCTCCCTCCCTCCTCCCTCCCTCCCTCCCTCCCTCTCCCCCCCCCCGGACAATCGAGAATCCCGGACGGAACAGAAATGGTTGGCCACATTTCCTTTCACCTAATACAATACAATACAATACAATACAATACAATTTTATTTAGGTAAGGTACATACATACAATAAATATTTACAAGGATTGTTTACTTAGGTATAGCTAGTACATACAATGCCTAAAGCCACTATTACGCAAAGCGTTTCGGGCATGATAAACTTAAATGACAAGCTTAATACTAATTGAGCATAATGAGTAGAATGAAAACAAGAAATGAAAACATAGATGAAAAAGCAGCACAAATACAATTATGTCGACAAACAGCGCTCTTTAAAGAAAAAAACAGACATTGGTTGACAATAGAAGGGTAAGGTAGGTTACAGGGAATTTATTAGGTATAGCTTCGCTTTTAACTTAAACTGGTTGAGAGAGGTACAGTCTTTAACATGGTTGGGAAGGTCATTCCACATTCTGGGCCCCTTGATTTTTAGAGCATTTCTAGTTTGATTAAGTCGTACTCTAGGAATATCAAAACTGTATTTATTTCTGGTGTGATGCTCATGGGTTCTGATACAACCTTCTATGAAGCTTTTGAGATCAGGATTGGCATTATAGTTTAGCGTTTTATATATGTATAATACACATGAGAGAATGTGCAGTGACTTAATGTCTAACATATTCAGAGATTTAAGTAGGGGTACCGAGTGATGTCTGGGGCCAGAATTGGATATTGTCCTAATAGCAGCTTTGTGTTGAGTAATTAGAGGACGTAAGTGATTTTGGGTAGTAGAGCCCCAAGCACAAATACCATAGTTGAGATATGGATAGATAAGGGAGTAATAGAGAGTCACCAGGGCAGGGCGTGGTACATAATATCTGATCTTAGAAAGAATGCCCACAGTTTTTGAAACTTTTTTTGATATGTTTAGAATGTGTCCCTGGAAATTAAGCTTGTGGTCAATGAGAATGCCAAGGAATTTGCCATCTAATTTGTTACAAATTTGGGTATTGTTTATTTTGAGATTTATTTGATTAGAGGATTTATTGCCAAACAGAATGACTCTGTTCACCTAACAGTGAGTAGATGCTCAGGAGTTAGCTTTTTTGTGGGGTTGCATCCTGGTTGGGGTCAATAAATCGATCCAGGGGGGGGGAAGAGTGTATTCATACACGTTTTGGCGCCTCAATAAGCGCCAAAACGTGTATGAATACACTCTGGCTTCCTGTCCCTCGACACAACGAATTATTATATAGCCTAAGGTCTCGCTGGACTGGTTTGAGTCAGTGAATTCTGGGACTGAATAGCATAAGGTCAGCTTGGAGCCATGAGAGTTGCCCCGCGCCTTATAATCTGCCTTATTTTGTTTATTTCTTAAATAAAGAGCTCGCCCTTTGGTACACTGAAGAAATGAAATGCAGGCAGTAGATGTATAGACAGTGTAGTGTAAATACTCAGTATGGTGGCTTGCTGGATGTTTCCAATAAAGCTCATTAACGTTAAAGAAATGTAAAATTCTTTTACATTTTTTTACAAACAAGACGATCATTGTTAATAAATGATGATCATTGAAAATCATCATTGCTATGTACCCTCTTAACCTCAATGTACCTTCTTGTATATAAATAATAATAATAGCAATAATAATAATAAATAAATAAATAAAACAGTAAACTGGCAACCTAGTGTACCGTGAATGGAATTGTTAATGGTGTTGGGTTTGGTCTCGTACCACTTTGGGGTGTCGCAAGACCTTGGCTGGTTCTCAGCAGGTATTCTACACACACCTTTATCTCGTGTGGCAGTCATGCCCGTCCTTCATCGCCCGGGCTGTGATCCCACCAGGAATCTGCAGGCACCTGCGCATCAATATAGACCAAATGAACTGCAGACTGTATAATTAGTTCCCGTGTTTACACACACACACACACACACACACACACACACACACACACACACACACACACACACACACACACACACACACACACACACACACACACACACACACACCACACACACACACACACACACACACACACACACACACACACACACACACACACACACACACACACACACACACACACACACACACACACACACACACACACACACACACACACACACACACACACACACACACACACACACACACACACACACACACACACACACACACACACACACACCACACACACACACACACACACACACACACACACACACACACACACACACACACACACACACACACAACACACACACACACACACACACACACACACACACACACACACACACACACACACACACACACACACACACACACACACACACACACACACACACACACACACACACACACACACACACACACACACACACACACACACACACACACACACACACACACACACACACACACACACACACACACACACACACACACACACACACACACACACACACACACACACACACACACACACACACACTCACTCACTCACTCACTCACTCACTCTCACACTCTGGAAAGGGGGGGGGGTTACCCGGTAATTACTCAGCACGGTAGCTAAGTAGTTACCTAATACAGCGGGAAAATTCAAATTTCTGCTCAGTAGGATATAACAATTCTAATTTCAATAGTATAAGTAATATTTTTTAATGAATCAAGCAATTCTATATCATTTTTAAATAATGACTTCATCAAGGTTGCCTTATCATAGTTGCTATGAATTAAGAATTACCAGCTGAACATTTTATTAACAAACTTTAGTGGTGTTTTCGACCTGTGTAGATAAATGTCTCCCTCTACAGTTGGAATTAAAAGCCTCTCTAGGAAATGTTTTTGAATACGGCTCTGAGCAAATGTTGAAATTCTTGACTCAACCGGTTAACATGAAATAACATGGTGTTATTTCATTTCGTATATGTTGGTTGAACTATTTGTTTCAGAAACGCTATTGTGATTTAATCTCGGAATTACATTCTTGTTAGTTTTCGTATTAAAAGGCTCTCTGCTGCACACATTTGCAATATTCTTATGTAATTGCGATCTGATTGGTTACGTAGCCTACCTTACCTTGAGGTTACCTTGAGGTGCTTCCGGGGCTTAGCGTCCCCGCGGCCCGGTCGTCGACCAGGCCTCCTAGCTGGTTGCTGGACTGATCAACCAGGCTGTTGGACGCGGCTGCTCGCAGCCTGACGTATGAGTCACAGCCTGGTTGATCAGGTATCCTTTGGTGAAGCCTATGATGAAGGCTGAATTTATTATTTAGTGTACAACACAAGGGAAGTTTTAGATTAGGAGGATAAGACGTACATACCATCCTTAAATAAATAGTGAATACGCAGCTATATATTATAAATATTTGTTTGAGTAAAATTAGAGTACACGCCCTAATAGCTGACCAATGGTGTGCCAGTTGCTTGGTGGGTAGACCCGCGTGAGGACCAATCAACGAAGGCTTAGTCTTGGCGCCGCGGTCGGCCAAATGTCACTTGACAACGTAAAAATATATCATGAATACTAGTATTACTGCGTCATCGTGTTGAGCTAAGCCAGGGTGTTCCACTGACTGAAGGGTGAGACGTTTTGTGTGTACGTGCGCAGTTCTAGTCCACACATCGCTGTGTATGTGGACTTAGGGTAATTATATACCTGCGTGCACATACATTAATTATACCAGTTGTGCACAAATAACTGATATAATTACATGTCTCGAGCGTTCACAACGTCACTAAAATGATGTACTAAATTGCCCGAACTTAATTTAACCGAGTATTGAAATTAGGTACTGAACCTAATTCGGTACCCATGAATAGATTTTTTATTACAAACAGTTTTTGGCCTTAGGGGATTTATACGTCAAAAAACGATGTTTTACTTGAGAGGACGGGTTGTACATGAACACGTGCACATACTTGTATATGGCTTGTATATACGTGCACATAACTTGTATATGACTTGTGTGCACGTGTAAATACTTGCATATGGCTTGTATGCACGTGCACTTACAGGTACTCATATACATGTGCACATTAGGGCGCTGTATTGCAGTAGTCAGTGGAGTCTGTTCATTACCGAAAGATCCACAGTTCGCTTCGCACGGCAGAACAGTGAGGCTTGGAAACGTTTCCTTTCATCTAACAGTAAATATAGGTACCCGGGAGTTGGGAAACTGTTGTGGATTGTATCCTGGGAAAGGTCAGTCGTTGAGCTAGGTCTTATGAAGACCATAAAACACTTACCGGGCTCGCTGTCCCCACAATTGGAACCAAACAGCAGCACAGCTGGGGAAAATGAAACTAGTATTTGAGTGGTTAATGCCTTAATGTTTACTGAACATAGCAACACTTCCGTAAGTTACCTGCTACATAGACTCCTCGGCATGGCGCCTTTTTTTGAGAATTACTTCCGTAAGTTCCCATCGTCATCGGAGATGCTTTTAATATGACGTTAAATTCTGAACTAAACTAATTTAAAGTTGCATTTTTCTAGATAATTTCCCAGTGTCATCACATGAACCTAAACACACTACTGTATCAAATTATTAACAAAAGCAATTTAACTCAAATATTCCATATACAGAAATTGTTTACAATTATTGGATAATTAGAAATACGTTTGAAATGCATCAATTAAGTGATTAGAAATCACTTAATTGATGCATGGATGCTAACGTGTATGGTATAGCCTCAGGCATTGTGGCTTACAGGTAACTTGTGAGTTGATGAACACTAGAATGCCACATGCTGGCAAATGTCAAAGGCGGGAATGGTTAACTAGAGCGTTGGGAACTTGTAGTGGATACGGGTGGTGATGGTGGAAGCTGCTTGGTGGAGGCGCAGGAGGAGGCGGTACTGGTGCACCTCCATCTCCAAATCTGCGCTGCAAAAGGTAAACCAGAGTTGAGTGTCGTGTGATGACTCTGCTTACTGGTGAAACCATTAAATGATTACAAATTACAACTGTACTCCATGACACTTGCTCTGGACACACGAACGGACTAATATCTTACACATACACACACACACGTAAGACCAATCCTGGAGTATGCGGCCCCCAGCATGGAGCCCGTACCTTGTCAAGTATATTACGAAGCTGGAAAAAGTTCAAAGGTATGCCACTAGGCTTGTCCCAGAACTGAGGCATGAGTCACAAGGAAAGGCTGCGTGAACTGCACCTAATGTCGCTAGAAGACACAAGAGTTCGGGGAGACATGATCACCACATACAAAATTCTCAAGGGAATTGACAGGGTAGACGAAGACGGATTATTTAACACGGGTTATATACTTCCAATACCTATATTCCTTTTCCAACCTATATTTTCCAAGTAAGTTTTCTTCCATCTTGCTCTGCTGAAGTCAAATGAATTATTACATGTTCACAATTGGATGAGTACAATTAGGTAAGGGAGAGGGAGTTGTCAGGAGAAGCACCAAGCCATTACTACTATATAGCACTGGGAAGGGATCAGGATAAGGATTTGGGATGGGACGGTGCCCAACCACTTGGACGGCCGGGAATTGAACGCCGACCTGCAGGAAGCGAGAGCGTCGCTCTACCGTCCAGCCCAAGTGTTTGGGCTGGACCCTCTTACCATTAAGACAATAGTGTCAGTAACGAATTTCATAAATTATATCGACCAAAACCTAATCGGGATATTTCTGTAAGTGGAACAATACTAAATAGATTTTCAAAAAGGTAAGCAAAAGATATACAACATACAAAAAACAAACTTGGGAGTGTTGTACCACTAACCTGGAGAGTTACAGCCCCGCTCCTGTGCCAGGTAAGTCCACTACTGGCTCACCATAGCCCGTGCTGTTTGAAACTTTCTGTTTCCAGTAGCTGAATCTTAAACAACAACAACAAACTAACCTGGACACGTGGTGGTGAGGCGTGTATTCCGGGTGTAAACATGTCAAGGCGTCTTCCTCTGACGCTCTCTCCACCGCTCCACCTGATAACCAATCTTACTTTCTTAACAATATACCTGTAGTCATTAAAGTTTACACATTCATATTAGTCAACTAATTTTTCTTATCAGTAAGATTGATTTGAAGATCAATAAAGTTATGTATCGGCCGATATATATCCTTACTTAAATTCAACTTAATTGACTCGTGAAGTCTGCTGGCTTTATAAGGAAATGTTTGAAAGGTCTCACCAAAGTGTGTGGTGGTGTAGCAGGTTGAAGAAGAGACGTAGTGTTGGTCAGGACTAAGAGAGTGTACAACTGGTCGGTCATGATAGCCACAGTCGTCTTCCTCTCCCTTCTCCTCCTCCTCCTTGAGGTGTCCCCACGTCTGCTGCTGCACTCCTTCTTCCGCACTTCCTGCCACACCCTTACCTGTTGAACACACATGATAGACCTCGCAGGCTCGCACTGTCTCCAAGTTTCTTATCTCATAAGTACTACGTCATTAACTACAGTACTGTAATTATATCACTTCCTTGTAATTTGCCCACACAAATGAGGTAAATACGAAACGAACCTAATTCATCGCTAATATAAATTGCTTACATTAAATTAAGAACATTGTGGTTCAATTCTTCCTCAATCCATTATGTTATTCTCTAACATAGTCTTCCATTGCCCAGAGCGCAATAAAGATGTTTATATCTTCGATCAGTTAGAAGAGCATATGCAAATTAAGTGCAACTGCATAATTAACCCTTTCACTGACGAACGACCACTTAAGAAGGCCTACATGGAGTCAATCAGTACCTAACCTTAATAATAAGAATTTGTATTAAAGATTGTTATCATAAGATAACCCAATATAGTAATTATACACGACAAGACAGAGCTAGCGCATGTCAGGGACGGGCAGGATCCCTGAATGTAGTGTGCATGTTCACTCTTTATTGTCACGCTTATTCACTGGAACAGGAAGGTAGCAGCTCTTGGGTCTCTTGTTGTTTCAATTGCCCGACCACTTAGACTTGCGGTAGAGTGACAGTCTCGCTTCATGCAGGTTGTCGTTCAATCCCCGACCATCTTCCAAGTGATTTGGCCACCATTCCTATCCTCTTTCCTATCCTAAATGCTTATTATCGTACCCCTGGCCACTCTATCGTGCCCCGTTCCACACCAATTAATATTCCAGAGATCCTTGTGCACAGGAATCTTACCAGATATATGGAAAACGGCAAACATAGTACCAATCTATAAAAATGATAGTAAAGAGGAACCGCCAAACTATAGACCCGTGTCATTAACAAGCGTGGTTGTCAAAACACTAGAAACAACAGTTAAAGCTAAATGGGTCGAACACCTAGAGAGTAATGACATAATAACGGACAGACAGTATGGTTTCCAAACAGGAAGATCCTGTGTAACAAATCTACTTAGTTTTTATGATGCAGAGATACTACAGGAAAAATGTTGTTAGAATGACTGTGTCTATCTGGACCTAAAAAAGGCTTTTTATAGTCCCCCACAAGAGGCTGTTCTGGAAACTGGAACATGCTTGAGGGGTGACAGAGAGGCTTCTGACATAGATAAACAAAATTTTCTCTGACAGACAGATGAAGCCAGTAATCAGAGACAATGTATCTGACTGGAGGAGTGTTACTAGCGGAGTACCACAGGGTTCAGTTCTTGCACCAGTAAAGTTCATCGTCTGCATAAACGATCTACCAGAAGGAATACAGAATTATATGAACGTTTTTCGAATGCTGCTAAGATACTGGGGAAGATAGGAGACACATACGATTGTAATGCCCTTCAAATTGATCAAGATAAGTGCTAGGAGCGTCAAGTGGCAAATTGAATTCAAATAAATGCCATGTTATGAAATGTAGAATCGGAGAAAATAGACCATACACAACTTACAAATTATGTGGAAAGGAATTACAGAACTCTGATAAAGAACGAGGCCTAGGAGTGGTTTCTGATAGTAAGCTGTCGCCAGAGGAACACATAAAGAACATTGTGAGAGGAGCGTATGCGTCGCTTTCCAACTTCAGACTTGCTTTTAATTATATGAATGGTGAAATACTAAAGAAACTGTTCATAACTTTTGTGAGACCAAAATTTGAATATGCGGCAGTTGTATGGTGCCCAAGTCTCAAGAAGCACATAAATAGACTGGAAAAGTGCAACGGCATGCTACAAAATGGCTTCCGGAACTGAAAAACGAGAGTTACGATGACAGACTAGAAGCGTCAAAATGTCATAACTAAAAAATAGAAGAAAAAGAGGTGATATGATCACCACTCACAAAATAATAACAGGGAATCGACCAAATTGTCAAAATGGAATTCCTGAAACCAGCAACTTAATGAACAAGAGAACACAGATTCAAGCTAAGGAAAAATATTAGAAAGTTTTCTTTTGCAAACAGTGGCAGTCGGTTGGAACAAACTAAGTGAGAAGGTGGTGGAGGCCAAAACCGTCAGTAGTTTCAAAGCGTTATACGACAAAGAGAACTGGGAAGACGGGACACCACGAGTATAGCTCTCATCCTGTAACTACACTTAGGTAATTACACAACCAATACACACAAACAACACCCACATACACATAAAACCCCAATAGTACATTACTTACTGTTCTGAGTTGGAATAAGATGGAGAGAAGTGTGACCTGTGTGCGCGTACAGTGTGGGAGAAGAAAGATCTCCCTCCTGGGGATCCCACCATGACTCTTCACACACGATCAAACTGTCTCCAGCAAACTTCTCCTCGAACAGTGTTTGCCCAATCGTCAACTGGGGCTGGTAGTCACTTCTCTCTTGCTTGAGCGCCAGTGTCGCATGGTACTCATGAGAGCTGGTTGTGCCCTCCACTTCAGAACACATTACTTGGGTTGGTAATGCTTGGTACTCGTGCATCATATGGACTCTTGGTACATCATGCTGCTGGTGAGAGTCGACAATGTTCCCCGGTTCAGAAGATGTCACCAGGACTCCCGGTATTGCCTGGTACGGAGCTTCTCTACTCTCTCTAACCTCGGATGGCGCCTCTTGGATAATCGGGAGAGTGTAGTACTCCTGGCCATCTTTCGTATATATATTATGAAGAGGTCCGAAAATAAGAGGCGATAACTTCCGACTCTGACACTGGTTTCGACCTGTTGAAATGGTTTTGTTTTTCTAGACGCATGTAACTTGGGTGTGTAGCGAGTATAAACAATATACTCGCTCCAGACTCGTCTCAGCATCCTCCAATAGGTTGGAAGGATGGAAGGAATGTTAACTGTAATTAGGGAAACGGTATGAGTGACTATTCAATAGTTAATATTCAATATTAAAAATAATAATAATAATAAAATAAATAAATGCTTATTCAGGTAAGGTACATACATACAAGAGGTTTTACAAAAATTTATAGATTTTAATAATTGTTATTATTGGTAGTAGTAGTAGCAAGAGAAGTAGTAGTAATTGTATTATTATTAGTAGTAGTAGGAGTAGTATTGGTACTATTATGATTATTGGTAGTTGTTGCAGCATTACTAGAAGTAAACAACATTGTTGTGTCTCACAACTTGTGTTACAATTCCATACTGATGCGCCTTCAACAGAAAGGCAATAACTGTTTAAGAGAAATACAACAGTTTCAATTGATATATTTGTAATGTATAAAGATAAAATTAAGCAGCATACAATTTATTAAGCATGTTTTTATCATGTTCATGAAGTAGTAGTAGTAGAAGTAGTGGTGGTAGTAGTGGTAGAAGTAGTAGAGATAGCAGTATTAGTAGTAATATAGAAACAGTAGTAATAGTAGTAGTAGTAGTATAAATATTAGTAGAAGTAGTAATAGTAGTAGTAGCAGCAGAAGACTTTAGTGGTAGTAATACTATAATATTTACGTGATTTCAAAATGAAACATATCATGACGTCCACATAAACTGTCACGGTGGAAAAAGAGGCAGAGATATAATACTTACTTGAGTTTATGTGAGAGCCACTAACACTAATGGCCTTGACGAGGACAGGACGCCTGCGGCTTGTCTAGGCTCCCCCAGTTGCCTTGATCTTTTCCAACTGAACTTTAAAGGCTAACAATATTTTGTCATTAACAGCTTCGTCGGGTAGGCTGTTCCATGGGTTAATAACCCTGTGGGTGGTAAAGCACCTCGTGTTCTCAGTCCTACATTGTTGCTTGTTGTGCTTGAGACCGTTGCTCCTTGTTTGTGATACACCTGACTTTTTAAATACATTTTCCGGATCAACGTCTTCCAATTTGTTCAGTATTTTAAACGTTTCAATAAGATCCGTCCTGTCATGCCTGGTTTGTAGTGATGTTAACCCTGTGGCCTTCAACCTTTGGGCTGGACGGTAGAGCGACGGTCTCGCTTCATGCAGGTCGGCGTTCAATCCCCGACCGTCCAAGTAGTTGGACACCATTCCTGCCTCCCGTCCCATCCCAAATCCTTATCCTGACCCCTTCCAAGTGATATATAGTCGTAATGGCTCGGCGCTTTCCCTCTGATAGTTCCTTCCTTCCTTCAACCGTTCCTGATACGGGAGTTGACTTATCTCTGGAATGATTTTTATTGCCCGGTGTTGCATTTTCTTCAGAGGAGCTATGTCTTTCTGAAGATGAGGTCTCCATGCTTGGATACAGTAATCCAAATGGGGACGCATCAGAGTTATACAATTGAACCATTACCTTCTTTTCCTTGAAATCGAAGGTAATCTGCCCGAAACGCTGCGCGTACTAGTGGCTTTACAAGATTGTAAATACTATGCTATGTATTCTCTCTAACCTAATGTACCTTCTTGTATATAAATAAATAAATAAATAAATAAATAAATAAGGTACGCTTGATTATTCCAAGTGTTTGGTTAGTTTTTATTACTGCTGCTCCTACCTGCTGTGCAACTTTTACTGAGTGGTGGATATTGACTCCAAGGTCCTTTTCTTCATCAATCTGGCGTAATGTAATATTATTTATTTGGTGGTTGTGGCGTGGGTTGTTGTGCCCCACATGAAGGGCCTTACATTTGTCAATATTAAAAAACATTTGCCAGTCATCTGACGATACTTGACGATTATTTGAGTCAGCTTTTGCAAGCGAACATTATGAAAACATCTTTTAAACAAGACCAAATACATCAACCCAGAAGCATATGTGTCTTTGCCGCTTCAGCTGATGACAGGAATCATTCAGCTGGTGGTGGCCATGATAGTTCACCTTCCAGTGGTTCATGACGGAAGGTGGTCAGTAAGGACGTGACGAGCGTCCAGACGCCACCACGTCAAACACAGATATATTATTTAACAATGTACGAGTTCTCTTCGTGTAGTTTTTTGTAATACACAGAAAAGTGCAGCTAGAAGCAAATGACTTGACGATTGTTAGCAGGCTAACGAGCTCTCATACAGCTCGTCGACTTAAGCCTTACTCTGTAAGGTTTCCTGTAACACGATTCACCAACTGGTTTACAATCAGATCCATAATTACTATGTGGTGGACAGTTAAGGATTGGTGCTTAAGCATCTTTCCTTGCCCAGGGCTCGACTAGGCTTGAGCCTGTCCGTTGTACCACTAGGATTTTAATGGCAGTAGCGGCGTGTCCGCTGTCAGGGAAGAACTAAAGAAGAATGAGAGGGTATTTAACAAACTTCTTTAGATCTCTAAGAAAAAGTAGTGAGAAGACAAGTTTGGAATCAAATTATTTTATTATAATACTGAAAGCGGATAATTTTTGTAACAAGTGTTCAGAAGCTGGGACGAGTATTTAGGAAACCGCAAGAGATGTGATCCTATCAATAACCTTGTGTAACAGACAAAGAATGAAGGATACTTTGGACAATAAACTGTGTAACTAGCTCATCAAGACTGTAACTTGCTTAGCTAAATGAATGTTGGGGTTCAGTTCCTGAAGCCCATTATGCGCCCCTGTAGTTCCCACTACCGCCCACAGGATGGGTATGGGGTGCATAATAATTGAAATAAAAACTAAAAACGATGTGAGCTGTCGGTTGGTTTCAAGCCTATTTTGTGTCCTTAATGAAGGTGGTGATATTTAAGTGCATACAACAATGAGAGGGTTGTTATGAGATGGTCGGTAGTGTAGCTCTCCGACTGACTGATGACATCTGTGTAGACCTTGATGGCTGTACCCTGGGCGAGTACCTTCACAAACAACGCCAGCTGGTGAGCATGTTTATATCAACCTCCTGCAGGAACTTTATGACTGACCAAAGTGTTCTGTAACCAGCATAACGACCTATATAAATATATACAGCAAAATATAAAATATGAACACTGCATCACTCGAGAGGATTTATATAAATATTAACGAGAAATTGTCAGAATCATAAATGAGTTAGTTAGATAAATTTTGAAAATTATATAAATTTGGAAACATGTATACCTGAGAGAGGTCCTAGCGTGTTGTAGTTGACCGCCGTGTTTGGACGGTCCTCAGTGTTAGGTGGTGGAGGGCGGTGGAGAAGGCCACTCCAGCCGGGAGCTTCCTTTATCTCTACTTCCACCATCACACACGACGGTAAGGGTAAGTGCGACACTTGGTTGACCTTGGGGACTCCAGGCCAGGGAACTGACCACTCCCACCACTTGCTGCCGCCCCTTACTGTACAACCTTCCTCCTCGCCCATACCTTCACCGTCACCCGCCTCGGTGGACACTGCTGCCTGATGACACACAGCTGCGTCAGGTGTGAGCGGACGTGGGTCCTGGAGCGTGTTCGGTGTGGGTACAGGCCAGTCATTCGTGGGTGTAGATGGGCCACGACACGGAGAACCAGATTCACACATTGTATGGAAGACGGCAAAAATGATGGTAAGGGATGGACGAGAGTAATGGAGGTAGGGTTAACTGGTGTTTGGCAACATACATTCAGGTCGGGAGTCGTGAACGACAGCCACGAGGTCTCCTCAAATACCACTCACGACCCAGGGTGACAAGACGCAGGAGAGCGGGTAGAGCGCCGCTCACAAGTCCGTCATCCACGCTGCTGATCTAAGGAGTGACTTGGGGTGACATCACCTAGACCGGAAAATACACACACGGATAATATAATATACCCGCTCCTGTATAAGGAAATGTATATGTTTATCTCTCAGAATGTTTTGTAATATGTTTATTGTTTGTGATGTGTGTCTATGTATGTATTAACACGATGTACTGAACGGGGTGAGAATAGCTTGAGCTACCTCATTCCTTTGTGTGTATTGTACCTCAATAAACTTATTTCAATTTCAACTCCTGTACCCAACAAGACTAACTGAGATACTCTTTAGCAACGCAACAATACACACATGGCATATCTGGAGGCACCTAAAGATTCAAATACACGAAATAACCCTTTCTTCGTCTGTGATTCAAACACGTTATGGCGATAAAAGTTTATTACTAAGTTTAATTATTGTTCAATTTAATTATAAACTGTAAAAAAAATTATATTGATTCCGATCTATTTGTTGCTGCCGGAGGCGGTTAGTTTATTGTGCACCCAATACTCATCCTGCGAGCAGTAGCGCAAAAAGGATTACAGAGGGCACAAAAGGTCTTGATCAGACCTCAACGGAGATTATTACATTAACAATTTTATCTATCCTCCACACCTTATAATTACAATGTCAGCTAGTTACAGAGAATGCTCTATTTCAAGAGCTATATATTTACAGTAATTATGATGAATTAATGAAATAACGAGCACTTCAATAGTGGCTAAATTAACCTTTGCACATTCCTTTTGGTAAGTATAATATGGGTAATTAACATTGGTGAAGTTTTACCCTGGGTAAATAACTTGATAACATTAACGTTGAAAGTTAACAGTGCATTGTAACTTGTTGATTTAAATAACTTGAAAGTTTAACATCGTGAAGTTAACCTTGTATATTAAACTATAGTAAGTGTACTACGGGTAAATTTAATAATGTGTAATTTCCAGAGAGTAAATCTAACAATGGGGAATTGCATTGGTGAAAGTGCTACCTTGGGTAAGTTAACAATGTAATACAGTAACATTGTATGAGGGTTAACATTGTATTACCGGATGGTAGGTCCAGTGGAGCCCCCGGACGCCAGGCCACAGCAGGGATCCCCCTTTCAGTATAGGTGTGGATGTATCATGTTTCTTTCTTTCCTACACAAGAAGATAGTTAAAAATTATCCCGACCTGCTTGAAGCAAAGTAAAATCAACCTAAGATTGTTATATTAATTATAATATATGTTTTACCCCAGCGTGAGTATCAATCACGCGACCTAAAAATGGAGGTGTATCAAGCCTCAAATTTTTAAAAGGGTGATTGACCAACCCGTGCTCCTAAGTTTTTCCCAACGTCTTTGATGAGATTCTGTAGTGGATCTCACTAAAGACCTTACCAACATTACTTTTGAGAGATGAAAGTCCGATTTCCAAAGTTCAATCAAGTTTATTGAACTGTCTCCGATAATTCCGCCGTAGAGAGATCAGATCAGGTGAAGGCATTTTGAAAGGATGGTGGTCATGCGACAACTTTTGGATGTCTGCCCTGTCCTGACCTTGTCTTGACGGCCTCAGGTCTGTGTGCTGCTCTGGTGATGCACCTTGGACTCCGGAAAATTCTTCAATACCGTCCGCAATTCTTAAGGTGAATGGAATAGTATGCACCCACTTTGCAAGTGTAGATTCGGTCATATCGCGACCTTGAGTAAGTCAACCAATGTTCTTCATTGAAGGCATTAGAACCTGCCCTATGGTCGTATCTGACCACACACCAGCACAGATGAGCTTGTAGCTCATCAAGAAAATCGTGAAGTTGCTGTTTAGTCAGAGCTGATTTGTTTTTGTATTGAGGCAGGTATTTTCTCCCCTGATTCCATGTATGACTAACCATCCTGTGAGATGGGAATATTAGATAAACTTATATGTAGTTTTTGATCTACACTGTGTAAGCTTTCATATAGAATACAGTAGCAGCACCTGTGTACACCTAAGCTTGTTAATACAAATAAGCAAAAAACCCTATCCGCGATTAGTGAAGAAGCCTAAAAAAAAAATGGTGTAAAAAAAAAAATCTAATTTAATTTTATTTTCCAGTTGAAGCATTTCTTGGAGATAAATATGCGCAGATTGTGCATAGTGGCAAGTTCAAGTTCTTGTTTATTGAGACAAGAAAATACATCTCAAAGGGATAGAGAAGCTTAGGCTATTTCTCCCCCCCCCCACACACACATACAGAAGCATACATGGAAGACGCTGGAAGACAGAAGAGTTACGGGGGGACATGATCACCACATTCAAGGTTCTGAAGGGAATTGATAGGGTAGATAAAGATAGGCTATTTAACACAAGGGGAACACGCACAAGGGGACACAGGTGGAATCTGAGTGCCCAAATGAGCCACAGAGATATTAGAAAGAACTTTTTTAGTGTCAGAGTGGTTGACAAATGGAATGCATTAGGAAGTGATGTGGTGGAGGCTGACTCCATACACAGTTTCAAGTGTAGATATGATAGAGCCCAGTAGGCTCAGGAATCTGTACACCAGTTGATTGACGGTTGAGAGGCGGGACCAAAGAGCCAGAGCTCAACCCCCACAAACACAACTAGGTGAGTACATGGCCGCCATGGTTAATGGATCGCCAATATATGTTATAGACTGATTATATAATTCAGCCTAGCTCTAGATCAGTCCTTTCAGGTTTGTTATACAAAATAGACTAACTTACCTCCATTAGCTAGCCAGAATATAGACTAAATACACGGCGCCTGGGGAGCTCATCCATATATATATATCACATCTCTAATATTTTGCCGAAAAAATGTAACTGAGAAATTAAAACCCTTATGCCAATCTTTACATTTAAAATTTACGGAGAATAATTAATTAAATGACGGAGATATGTATAAATGAAGGGAGACAGCGTCCACGTACTTACCGAGAGTCCGCCATCATAGGTCACTATTTTACCGCCTATTTAGCAATTGCAATAATAAATATATATTGCAAAACAAAAACAAACACTATATATAATATTATATTCAAATATATATAGAATTATCATAGTGATAAAATACTAAATAAAATTAAAGATAGTTGTAAAAAAATGATAACTTATTAAATTCAATCGCAAATCAGCTGTAGAGCAAGAAGTTCCCGCCAAATGCTGTATGTAAACAGTGGCTGGACACGAGGGTTACTGGGTACTGGTGCAGGCAGCTTCACAAGCTCTTGTTCCTGGCGTACACCACCTCTGTACCTCGTGAAAAAGATCTGGGTCAGAAAATATAAGAAACGATTGGATTGATACAGTAAGCTAGGCTATTATAGTCCTTCAGACCAAACTACAACAACGACTCTTAGTATATAAAAGCTAAAGAAGGCGTCATTTTCTTCATCATGCCTGGTGTTGATGACTGGATACAATCCCCTCTCAGAACCGTTGATAGGATTTTTGGTAAGGTTAACAAGTGCTGTGTATGTTGTATATTTTGATTATATTTTCCAGATCTCTTTTTTTCAAATGTGGAAAATTTCAAGTGTTCCTATGACGAACATTTTAAGCCGTCCATCATTTTACAAAGGATCTCTGTAGGACTGTTGGGTTCGTTCTTTACTTTACAGGCAGGTTTTTCTAATCATAATAATGTTTATACTGTTAGTTTAGGCTACGTTAGGTTGGGTTTGGTAAGGTTAGATAGGTTTTAAAATCCTGTGTATGATGTGACTTTTATCCACTGATTGGGTGGGATGCAAGACCTGGTATAAGGTGAACAGCATTTTCAGCATCAGTGATGTTAAAGGTTATACGGATGCATACTTGAATTTGTTTTATTCTAGGGAGTATATTAGTATTAATGTCTCCGTGTTCTTGTGAACAGAGAACACTTGTCTAACCTATATAGTTGTGCTTTTTGGATGTGTACTGGTACATTAGAACATGAAGAATGAAGGTATCTGCAGAAGGCCTATTGGCCCCATACAAGGCAGCTCCTATTTATATCCTCCCAATCTTATTCATATATATATGTCTAACCTATGCTTGAAACAATCGAGGGGTCCTACTTATGTTATGCGGTAATTGGTTCCACAAATCATCAACCCTGTTGCCGCATAACATAATAGCATGTTACTTATTATTTGGATACAGTGTAATATAACAATGTAACTTGTATTTTGCTCTAAAACGGTGCAAAAGCGAGTTTGCTAGTAGTTGGGTCATCATTGATTACTTTAAATTGCATAGTTTCTGCAATTTTTAGATCCAGTGCTGGCTAGACCAATCTGTTCATAACTTGTTAGGCTAAGTGACACTTGCTGTCTATAGTGCCACACTATTGACATCTGTAGAGTAATATATCATTGATGTTATTCTGATTTTCACTCAGTGGCATGTATATTTTGAGTATAATATACTAAATGCAATGTTTTTAGGTATTTATAGAAGAAAAATATATTTTGTAGGCTAATACAGATTTTTTTAAAAGAAGAATGTACAGGTTTCATTTTGTTTTTAATTTATTGATGGTGAGATGATAAAGTAAAACCATATTGAATTCATGGGGAAAATCATGGCTAATGTGCATCTGAATATGACAATATTGTAACCAAGATTTATTTTCTCATTCTTTTTTACTATACAGTAACATATATCTACAATAATTACTAACCTAAGAGCTGTATTTAGTTTATTGAAGAGTTTCTAGATGGTCAATTCATAAGTTATAAAGTTGAACCAGGGTTTTCATTTCATTGACTGACATTTCTCACACTGCTTATTTTGTTCATAAAATCTTATTTTATAGGCTGTATATTTTATATTTGGCAGCAGTTTTCACATATTCCTAAAGCACTGTATATTGTGGGTTAAAATTGGTAAGGTATGAAAATTCCTGTGTGACTTATGCTCTATGAATTAACCAGTTCAGTATTTAGTTGAGCTACTGCATAGATACTGTACTAATTCCAAGGTCATCATGCACTGCAGACTGGTCTCTAGGAATAGTTAGAAATTGCCTTTACCTCAAATTATGAGTACAGTATAGCAGGTAAGGAGTTTGGATACTCACCATCTGGTTATGTTAAAATACTTAAACTAGAATCTTCTTAAATCAAATTGGAATATATTTTGCTACCTAAGAGCAAGTGAATTTTTGTGACAACATTCTAGCAAGTGTTGTTGATTGACTTGATCTCACTTATATTTTAGGACTTGCTCTGAAGTTCATTTATGTTGTCATCAGGTATATCCTTCCAGCTCTTCAAATCATTATATGTTGTTGCAATTTTTTCATTACATATAGTATAATTATAAGGGAAGAGATATTGAGTTTTAGGAAACAGTTTGCAAGATGTGGTGTAAACCATATTGTGTTAATTTCTTAAGTCTTCCCCCCAGTGGCTGATAACTGTATTTCTGTCAACAGAGGAGTGTGGACCATCAGGGCAATGGAGGGAGAAGGTGAAAGAATTTTTTGAAAGTGAAATAAGGAAACCATCAGTTCTTGCAAAGGTGATAACACACTTATACACCTGTTGTTAAGTATATATTGATCAGTATTTGGCATGGTTGATTATGTCTGATTTTGTCATGTATGGTATTGTAATGTTCAGTTTCCTTCTTCCTTCTTAGAACAGACAGATTTCTATTTAAGAGCCTAAATGTATAACTGCAGAAGGCCTATTGGTCCATACTACACAGATTATAAACTATCCACCCAAACTTATACTGTACGTATACTGTACACTGTATAAGCTCGGTTATACAAAGTACGCTGACCCGAGTACAGTACAGTACAGTATTCCTATATTTTCATCTACCTATACTCTTACTGCACTGTTTTTACAATAGGCCTGTCTGATTTGTTGTATGTATTTAACACAGCTGATGTTAAATTAGTATGGTATACAGCTATAACTCTGGTAATTTTATTCCTTGTATTTGTTCAATAGGTTCCATGGGTAAACGAAACTCCACTTCATGATCTGCGTTGCAATCAGGTGGTGCGCTTCAGAGGTATGGTACAAGATATGTTTGATAATGAGTTCTTCTTGGATGTATATGAAGTACATGGCAGCAACAACAGGTCTTCTAGTCTTCAGTCAGGGCGCTACAAGGACATTGCAGAATGTGGGGTAAGATGGTTGCAGTAGACTCTTTAATTGTATTTAAATATTGGAAATGAATTGTTGCAGATAAAAACTACACAAAAATGCAGAGAATAATCACTTAGCCAAAAGAATTTAAAGGGTTTATCTTGCAAATTATTTTTCATTGTGTTGTAAACATTAAAAATATGCATGAAGGAGACTTGTGTGTTAGGATGAAAAAAATATGTTTTAGAAATAAAACATTTTAATAGAAGCTACCAAAGAATTAAAATTTAATAAATTTTAAAAATACAGTACTGTACGTATTGTACTGTGGTAAATTTATTACAGATGTTAAAATACAAATATTTTGCAGGCCGGAGAAACAATTGTGACAGACTCTCCTCGGTGTGAGACGGGAGATCGCTTCACATACTACTGCATCCCAGTTCCTGGAGAAAATGATTGGGTAAAAGAGGTCTGTATAATATTTCGAAGTTGAAGTCTGCTTTTAGCCTTTAAAAAGTTCTGCTTTTTAAAGTCCTGCATTGTAGTGGACATCACAAAAATTAGTTCACAAAATTCGTGTTAAATGAAATTTCATTTCAAGTAGAGATGGTAATAGGTAATTGGAGTTGTTAAGTGATGCCATTAATTTTTGCTTGATATAGAAATACCGATATGATAGGTAGCAATAGAAATACAGGTATGGGTTCTGTATAAGTGCTTCCTCATCTTCAGTTGGTGATTCTATTATCTGGATACATTAGCACCATTCAGTGCTATTTTATATATTCATCTCATTGGCTACTATTTTCTAATTTTCTATATTAATTTTCTTCTCTTGCATTTCCATGTTCATACTTGTGCATGCCTGCTGAATTGGGCTTCATACTTTTGCGTGCCTGTTGAATTGGACTTCATACATGTGCGTGCCTGCTGAATTAAACTTCATAGTGTGTGTATCAACTGCTTAACCTGTGTAATAATTACACAATACAATATTCAAGTGTTCATTAAAAGCATTAATATGTATTTAAAATGTAATGCAATTTACATAAGGCCAACACTAAAGAGCAGAAGAAGGCAACGGATTAAAATTTAAAATTGAACGGAATTAAAGGCCGGGAGTACAGTATATTATTCCTGTTTAAAAATTTATATACTGTACTGTACAGTGGAACCTCGAGTGACGAGCGCCTCAATCTACTAGCATTTCGAATAACGAGCACGCCACGTGGCAAAAATTTGTCTACATTGATGAGATTTCGCTTGATTAACGAGAAAACCACATGGTGCTTCCTAACGTTCCCGCAGGTTCTAGCAGATCATCGGACACCTCCGACGATGCAAATAATGTTTTTTTGTTTTAAAGATGCTAATGTTGCTGGGATGTAAAGGGGTTAGTGCTGTAATGTTGCAAAGCATTGATTTTTATTTTTTAGATAATTAGAAAAAGAAAAATTGAAAAAATTTGAAAAAAATTCAAAAAAAGTTCGTTCAGTGAATGTCAGGTAGGCTGCTCCATTTTCTAAAAAAAAAAAATGAAAAAAAATGATAAAAATTGAAATTAGACAAATGTTATAAAGGATTGTTCAGTGTATGTCAGGTAAGCTGCTCCATTATTAATAAAGAAAATGAATTTTTAATTTTTTTATAGAAAATGGAGCAGCCTACCTGACATACACTGAACGAACATTTTTCTTTAAAAAAAATGAAAAATAAAAAAAATTGTACAAATTTGAAGAAAGTAAGTCATAAAGGTTTGTTCAGTGTATGTAAGGTAGGCTGGTCTATTATTTAAAACATCGAATATCATATTGATGTTTTTTAGTGGTAGAACGGATTAATTTTATTTCCATTATTTTAAATGGGGAAATTCGTCTTGAAAGACGAGCATTTCACATGACGAGCTCGGTGCCGGAGCGGATTAAATTCGTTAATTGAGGTTCCACTACTTGATTTGCTGGAACTATCTCTTTTGTGCTCTATTCTAATGTGTAATATATATCAAGCATACATATAGAGTCTGCGGCTTGCACTGGCGCGGTGACCTCACGCTCCCTCCCCGCTGGAGCCGGTCGGCCGAGCGGACAGCACGCTGGACTTGTGATCCTGTGGTCCCAGGTTCGATCCCGGGCGCCGGCAGGAAACAATAGGCAGAGTTTCTTTCACCCTATGCCCCTGTTACCTAGCAGTAAAATAGGTACCTGGGTGTTAGTCAGCTGTCACGGGCTGCTTCCTGGGGTGGGGGAGGCCTGGTTAAGGACCGGGCCGCAAGGACACTAAAAGCCCTGAAATCATCTCGAGATAACCTCAAGAAGCATTTTACCATCCATTGTTATATACCTACTCTTGGTTTACAGTACTTTCCTTGCATATTTTAGTACTAGTACAGTATACTGTACTGGTATATAATTTTTCAACATGCCATATTGTGGCATTTCAGATTTGTATCAAAATTTCTTTTTAAGCATGACATCCTAGACAAATCTTGGGTCTATCTATTAGTTTAAACCATGTTTTCAGTGGTGTGAAACTTAATTTATAATTTGGCATTTTTAGATATATCAAGATAGGAATCCATCTACAATAAGTGCAAGTGCCTCAAATTGTGTGTCTAAAAAAAAGCGTAGTGCAACTGAAGAACAAGAGCATTGTTCAGCTGGAAATACATGTGCTGAATTAGCAACAGGAGACACAGATCGGTTGGTGTTAAAGTTGATTTTGTTATTTCTGTTAATATTGTGCTAAAATTTTAGGAATAGAATTCCTTATCTGTAATAAATTAGATGTTCAGCTTTTCCTGTAATAATTCATTTTCAACATCTCTGATGTCCTGTTTTTAATTTTTGTTGGTAGGGAGAATGAGTGTTAAAATGATTTAAGAACAGACTATGGTGTGTTAAGTTGTGTACAAAACTCAAGTAGTGTAAATAAAGAATGAAATTGGGTATTTATTATTCAAGCAGGGAGGTAGTTGGCCTTTTAACCACTGTTGACTTGTTTAGTATTACAATGTTTCAATGAATTTGCATTATTCAAAATGTGTGGAGTTAGTTAACTCACAGTTAACTATCTTACTGACAAGGCCCCAGAATCTCTCTGTATGGTGTACACTTGGGCATCTATGTAAGATTTTGCCTCTTCCGTACTTTTCTCTTTTTTTATTTGAATTTTTTGAGGAATACGTATGCAAGTTCTTGCTAGAATTAATGCATGCATAAACATGATGTATTTTTAATTTACGTATTATAATTTTTATCATTTAGCATGGAATTGGAAGAGGTAAATCAAGGAGAAAAGAAACGCAATAAAACAGACAGACAAGATGAAGTAACTCAAAATTTGCAGGAAACAAGCATCACTACTTTGGCTTCTCCTTCTAATGGAACAGTTGACCTCAACTTCCCTATTCCAGGAATGAACGGCACACCATGTCTTATTAAGGTTAGCTATTAAAAATCAAAAGTTCTACCAAGTATAAGTATGGTTAGTTCTGCAGCCGAGTACATAGTTAACTCTTATTGTAAAAATTTGTAAAAACTCCATTTCTTAACATATTGGGATGAAATTTTCACGACGCTGATGCCAAATAATGGGAGATTTATTTTAAAATTTTCACTATATATCATATTTGGAAAAATCTACGTCACCGGGCCTCTTAAGGCTAAGTGTACAGAGTTCCTCATTAGTTATCATAATCTTCATAAAATACTGTCTTCTTTCACCCCATATTCCCTATTCACATTCAGTCTCTACTTCCTCACAAACTCTTGCAATATACTTTACACCACATCTTTCTATAAACAATTTTTTGTTACACTTTACCTGTTCTCTTAACATCACATATGCTCCTTAGATTGTTCTTTTTGACTGCTCTCTTTCTAATCAGAACTTTCAGTGCATCTGTTACTTTCTTTCCCTAACTGGCCCAACCCTCAGTTTAATGGAAGAAATTTCTATTTTAATGACATTCCAGGTATTTAAACTGACCACGTCCAGCATTTCACTCTAATAAACACCATCAATACATTCGATATAACAACACAATCACTGAGAGGGGTGTCGACGAAACACATGCACACATTCTCAAAATTTCCTTCTCTCCACAACCATAACTTTACATTGATCTGTGTTAACCATTAACAGTCTTCTCTCACTAGGCTATGTAACTTTCTTCACTTTCTAATAAAAGTTAACAATTATCATCTGCATACATAACATTTGAAATGCACCAATTACTATGTACTGTATTCACATTAGGCTAGAACACTGAATTTACTGCTTTTGTTTACGTAAAACTCTTTCTTGGGATTAGTGGGTTTTGTTGTAACCATTTCCTTGTTCTTTTGTGCTCATGGCTTTTATAAAAAAAATTTCAGATATATGATGATCAGATCTTATCCCTTAATGACATTGTTGAAGTTGTTGGTATACTGTCCATTGATCCTGCATTGTCATTATTGGGCTCTGATCACGAGGGAAAACCTGAAATGAGTGTGGCTACAATGGAGATGGAGGAAGATGCTGTTCATTGCTTACCACCTTCTCTTGTACCCAGGTGAGACTGTGCTCATTGCTTTCTCTTGTACCCAGGTGAGACCTATTGCTCATTGCTTGCTCTTGTATCCAGGTGACTTGTCTTGTACCCACTTGATTGATAAATTATAGCAAAATTTGAATGCATATTATAGTCTATCTAGTTGATAACTAGGTAAAATTGGTAGATAACAGTATGTTTATTTCAACATAGGTTGAAAAATGGAGGTTTGAGTTTCTTATTGATTTAAGAAATAATTATGGCTGTTACTTTGACCTTTAGGATAATTTGTCTCAAATTATGGCAATAAACAGCTAGCCAGAATAAAAAGAAAATTGTATGTTCATTCAAGTCTTCCAGGATTGGAATTCTGACAAATAAATTCAGTGTAAGCAGTATGTGTTTCTTGACAAATATATTTAGGAATGAAACATGACAAATTCAGTATTCAATCCATTTATTATCATTACCCTATTTCAAACTTTCATGATATAAAGGAGACATCAGCCTGAAGAAAAAATGATGAATAATGTAGTGAACAAAGGTTATAGATGTTAAAAAAGAGAAATATCACTCTCCAAATAATTGTTATAGTACTGTACTTGGATCAAAGATTCCTATCACAAACACACCATAAGACATCACTGTATTTTTCACTGTAAATAAATCTTTTGCTATTCAAAATCTTGGTCATGATTAGTATAAAATGCAATATAAATAACTGCATAATCTGTGCCCTTTTTGTCGACCAAAATGAATAAATTTATTTGGAATACCTTTTTCTGTAGAACAAATTGAACCAATAATTAATTAGTTCAGTGTATAATTCAGTTTGTTGAAATTTTCAGATTACATGTTCTCTCTGCTCGAAAACTGTCCCATACAAACCCACTTCTTCCAGCTGACTTGGACTGCTCCGGTGGTATAAAAACACTGAAAGGGAGCATGCGAGAAACCCGGGAATTACTCCGTCGGGTTTTTCAGGAAGCTTTCTTGGGAGATGCACTTGCTGCCGAGTTCATGATCTGCCACTTGATGTCCTCTGTGTACTTGAGACAGGTAAATAACATTGTCAATACCCAAGTATCTTAAGGTAGAGTAAATTTGTTTTTCATCTGCCATTTAGTTATTGATATTGAAAGTAAAAACTAAGGTAGTATGTTTTTTAGAAAACCTGTAGTATGTATTTTGAGACGTTGATATATGAAATCACACCAAAATCTAGTCTGGCGTGATTTTGCTGTCAACCAAAAGCAATTTACGATACTGAACCTGATTGTTAGCAAAATGTTGGTGGCCAGTATTATGGTGAATGCTAGGCAGTCTCTTTGGCCATATATAACAGAATTTCACAGTATTAAAATACTTGTATATAATATGTTTATGATATGCTGATTGACATGCATATGCACAGGAATTTAAATAGATCCTTAAAATTGTTGTAACATTAATCTAAAATATCAAGTGTTTTAATACTGGATTGAGATTACAACTATTATGAGTTCAGTACAAGCAATACAATAATGACACCTTAAGACTGGACTCTATCATATCTACATTTGAAACTGTGTATGGAGTCAGCCTCCACCACATCACTGCCTAATGCATTCCGTCTGTTAACTACTCTGACACTGAAAAAGTTCTTTCTAACGTCCCTGTGGCTCATTTGGGTACTCGGTTTCCACCTGTGTCCCCTTGTTCGCGTACCACCCATGTTAAACAGTATCTTTATCTACCCTGACCCTGGAGTGGGTGCACTTGGGCGTGGGCGAAATGACCACATCCCTCAGGTGGGTTTCCCGCTGGTTTCCAGTGGCGAAACGGGACTGGGCAGATTTGCGGTTCAATCTGGACTTGTCCCGTCTGAACCCCTGGATTCCTTGCCCCCTCCTTTCGGATGACAACTCTGTCTCGGGTCCGGCTTCAACAGGATGATATCTCTGGACCTCCGGGAGGTGTATCGGCATATTCCCATTCATCTGGGGTTCAGGGACTGGTTAGGTTTCATGGTGGGGTGGCAAGTTTGCCGCTTTTGTTGTCTTCCTTTTGGCTTGAATCTGGCACCTCAAGTATTTACGCGCCTTACCCGGGTTGTGCTGACCAGTCTGCGTCTGCTAGGGGTTCGGGTTCTGGCCTACCTCAACAACTGGTTGGTGTGGGCTCCCAGCCAGTCTGCTTGTCTGCTCGCCAGGGGTGTGGTTCTTTCCCAGCTCGCCAGGTTTGGGTTCCTGATGAACTGGAGGAACCCATCTGGTTCCATTCCAGGTATGTATCTGTCTGGGCCTTGTGTGGGACTCTCGGACCCGCTACCTTGTCTCTCCTTCCGGAGGTATTTCTGTGGTACTGCCTTCAGCTGTTTTTTTTGGGTCCCGGGTCACTAGGCAGTTGTTCGAGCAATTGTGTGGGTGTCTGAACTTTGTCGGGCTAGTTTACCCGCTGGGTTAGGTCTGGCTGGCTTTGGCGTCTGTTCTGATTCCTCCAGGGACACCCCTTCCACCTCTCTCGCGATTGTTGAATTGTAACAACAGAGCTATATCACTTTCCCCTCTGCATCCTATCTAGCCTTATTACTTGATACCCTCTTGGAAAGATTGCATTTCCTATACTGCTCGTCAGTTTTGTTTGTGTTATCGCGTTCATGTGCAGTTGTACTTCTGTCACTCTTTCCTGTAAGTGTCTATATTTCTTCTCCCCCATGTCCTCTCCTCCTCCACCTCTTTCTGCATTTTTGTATTACCTCTCAGTAGTTCATCCATGCTTTCCTGAAGTTCTACTATGCTAATGGCCTTTCCTTACTCCTCATTCTTGCATTCCTATAATGCCATAAGTCAAAAGTATGCAAATTGTTAGACAGATGGACTAAGATTCAATTAATTGATTGTATCTGTTTTACATTTTGGGTGATTTGCAGGATATAATTGCACTCGGAAAGTACAGCATGAACATCTCTGGAATAAACAAGTCTTTACAAGAGCAGCAGTATACTACCTTAATGTACAAGCTGATCAGCAGTCTCGTCACTCAGTCCTCCTTCTTCTCCATGACACTCGCCAACATGAATACTATGAATTTCATTCCAAAGAAGGTACGTTTCTCTAAATTGAAATACCTTTAACCCCTGCATGGTGCACTTGAATTTCCATAACTTCTCTGTGTGCAAGATTAAATTAATTTTGTTCTAATATTGTTAAAATGCATTCTATGGTCATGAAAAAAAACAAAAATACTTATTTTGCCCATGATGAAGTGTATTGCATGTGAGTTATTTACAAACTATTGCTTTTTTTTTTTACAGGATTACAAAACAAACAGGTTGGTAAGTGGGCTGCTTCAGTTGAGCCAACACGTGCACCTAATAGTCGATGAAACTGCTCTCACAGCTGGCCAGTTAGATACCAAAGGAGTTCAGAACCTTACTGCTCTGGGCAATGTTATAAATTGGCAAAAGACAGATTATGATTTTCAATATCATCAGATTGAACAACACACCAATATTCCAGTTCTCATTCTCTCAGAAGGAAGATCCATGATCAGTAGGTGAGGTTTTTAATATTTGTCGCAACATTAAAATTTAATTGGTATATAGAATGCTCTACATTTGTCCATACGTACAATGAACTGAAAATTTGTTTTATCTTATACTAGTGGGTACTTGACATTACTCTCCTTCTCTCTTCTCTATCCTCTCTTTTTACCACCTTGTGTGTGTGTATATACAATAAATAAGATATTGTACTTGAGTCGGTTACAGATCATCCAATGTGCAAGTGCTGTGAGGCACACATCTAAATGCGAAGACTGTTTTAGAGAGAGTATCCATATTATTAACTTTACATTAATAAATTAATATTGTTAGACAGGTAGCAGATAAGGCTACATTTTACATGTTATTTAATGTTTGGCTATCAGCTAAATCTGTGTATTTGATTTATGAACAAGATATTATATCTTTCAGTGATGCCGAAGTGAGATTGGAACCCAAGAACTTGGATGTATCTGCAGCATTCAGCAACATTCAGTCTATGTTAACTCCAGATTTCCTTCAGACGCTGCGTTCATACCTGACCACAGCTCGATTGTTGGACTATACACTATCAGAAGAGATGCAAAAGGTAAAATTTATATATATATATATATGCTAAAAATAGCTTCGAAGAAATCTTATTTAGTTTTCTTAAAATTTTCTTGCACATTTTAATTATATATTGTATCCACACGCTAATTCGAACTATATGGGAAGGACCCCCCAGCCGGATTATCATGTTTTCCGGATTAACATACTTTTCACCTCTTGAGTCCAAAAGGGAACATTTTCAAAATTTGTTATACCACAGTCATGATTTGAATTGACACACTAATTAGTGTATGGGGCTGGGTGGGTGGTTAGCTGGTAGGTGGGTTCAGGCAGGTGGGTTCAGGCAGGTAGGTTCAGGCAGGTAGGTTTTGGATGGGTGGATGGCAGGCAGATGGGCTTGGTAGGTGAACAGGTTCAAGTAGGCAAGTGGGTGGGTGGGCAAGCAGGCAGGTGGATGAACAGGTGGGTAGGTCTGTGCAGGTAGGTGGGTGGGTGGGTTGGGCGAGTATTCAGGTGGGTGAACAGGTGGGTCAGTGTACTTAAAATACTGTAGTAACCATGTACTGTGCAATAATTCATTTCCCATTATTACACAAAATTATAATTATTTTTATTTGTGGAAAACAATTCTTAGTACAGTATTTCGGTGTCTTCAGATGGTGCAGGATGACTTTGTTGATAGCCGTAAGAGGGATAATGGCATTACAGCAAGTGACCTTCACAGTCTTCTAATTCTTGCCAGGTAATCCTTTTTAATACTTTAGACATTTAATAATAAGGAATGATTTGAAAATGATTGAAATCTGTTCAAGAGTGAGTTGAAGAAATGTGTACTCTGTAACATGATGTATGTTATCATACTGTGTTGATTATTGTATGAACAAGCCTTGGAAAACCACCTTCCACGTGACTACCACTACCACCACCTGTCTCCTTTAATGCCCCTTCATATATTCACCAGCCTCTTACTGTTATTGTTTTTTAGTTGGAGAATTTTCATGAACTCTCTCTATTGGCAGTTTCCATGCCCGACCTTTGCTTACTACCCCTCCCCCCCCTCTGATTCTTTTTCTAGCTCTCCTTGTGTGATACATATTGATGTCCACCCACTTCTGGTCTCTTGTTCTCCACATTCCAAAACTCTAGAGGATATTGCCTTATACTTGTGGTGATATAAACTCCATCCCAGCCCTTGCAATGCCTTGTAGTTAGAAATGTAATATTGATTCCTTTTTCCTCTTCCCTAGAGGGGAAGACATGTACTATAATTAAAGCCTCAGTATGCCTGCTTCCTCACACTCCATTGTTGAAATTCCAGTTACAATACTGTACTCTTGTACACCCACGTCATCCATATTGAGATTGTCTCCCACATTACTGTATTTGCGTCTTCCAGTTGTACATACATGCTCAAACCTAAAATCTGGATTACATAGACTGTAGTCTGGGATAACTGTCCTTCCACTTATATGTTGGTTTTTATTCCTGTTGTTTATACCAAATATTAAATATTTTATAAATTTTTTCTGACCCAATTTTCTCAAAGTGATGTCTTTTATTCAGTGGAATGTACATGGTTTTTATTAGAGTTTTGATGAAATTCTTATTAATAAACATTCTCCAATTTATTTGTCTTCTCGAAACTACAGTATATTAACTGCCTGCTAAAGGACAATACCAAAATATTCTCTTAATTCTTTTAGTAACCAATTCAATACTGTAATATGCTATAAGCCTGAAAAATCATGAGATAAAAGCACAGTAGGATTGACAATCTTGAGAAGTATGTATGGTGTTTGGAGAATAGATATGGAGTACAAAAGTCAGTAAACCACAATATTGAGAAAGCAGACTGAGATGGTTTGAATATGTTGAATGAATGGGTGATCTTAAACTAGTGAAGAGAATATATTTTAGGGTAGAATGAGAGAAGAAAGCCGGAAAGATGGAGAAACATTTTTCAGCGACTGAGTATTTGCATAAACAGTGAGTGAGTGTGGGTAACACAAATGATATCGTAAAGGACAGAACTGGATGAAGATGGTTTGTGAGAACTGAATTACTGTCTATACAAAAATTATAGGATAATTCATGAGGAGTACTGTACAACTTGTCTTTTGCCACTGTGGTGCTATAAATTACATTATAAAGGCTATAACAAATTGACATGATATACTGTATTTATTATTTTTTCAATATTCATAAACTTTTTTGCTATATTAGTTATCATTTTCTCCTGCTGATGCCTTCCCCAACCCCTCCATCTTGTTATCTTGAGACTGTATTTTAGGTTGTTTGTTTTCAACTTGTCTATTATTATACAATAATACAATATTAGTACTGTATATGCTATTTTATTTGTTTGTTTATATTGATGTAAACTGAACACATTTTTTCAGACTTGTTGCAGTGAGTTGTGGAGAAACATCACTTACTCCCGATATCTGGAAAAGTGTTAAAATTCTTGCCAATGAGCAAAAGTTGCGTTTGAGTGCAAAACTGCAGTGATTTTTTTTTTTGTAAGTGTATGGTGTTATTATACTTTATTAAAAAAATATACTTTATAAAAATATTATACTTTAAAAAAATTTAGTTTCTTCTTGTCCCTATTAAATTTAAAATCCTTTACCCAAAAGGGACGACCTTTAAATATCTAATAAAGCACAACACGAGACAAAAGGAAGGGGGTGGTAGGAGAAAAGCACACACAAACTATTTTGGAGAGGACTTAAACATTCCCTCTAATATGTTGTGTGTAATTTCCTCCGAGGCTTAGGGTCCCCTTCTTCCAGCCAAAGGTGGTACTCCCTAATGTATTATATATAATATAATATAATATTTGGGGACAGGCCCCCAAATTTGTGTCGGGTTGTGGTATCGCAGCTATACTGAACCAAGATGGTATGGCTCTCCCTCACATAAATAAAAAAATGCTGCTATTGGCTGTTGCAGGTGGAAACAAATGAAAATCAAATAAATAATTAAAACAATTTACTGAAATATTAATGAACAAACATGGCACCTGAGAATACTTTGCTATTAATATATAATGCAAAGGTGGACAAGATATGAAAATTAATCCAAAAATGAACTGTAAGAACAATGAATACAATGCATGAAGATATACTGGTGTACTGAAGCCACTGCATCAGACACGGCTAGGCTGAAGGCAGACGACGGATGAGAGAGACCAAGGTGATCCGAGAGAGAGAGACTGCCTCTCCAAGTTGTTATAGATTCAGCTACTCTGAACAAATTCCAAGTAGCACGGGCTATGGTGAGCCCGTAACATCTCTCCAAGGAGGTGGTGCCCTTTATATAGTCCGGTATCAGGTATGAACACAAGATGAACATCTGGTCAACTGGCAAACTGCTCATTTGTGACTGGCGGTGCTTTTGTGTTAAGCTGCACCACTACCAGTTGAAGGTGGCTAACTGCTTGTTTGTGAAGTCAAACTACCAGTTAGCAGAGACGTCCGTCTTGTCTCCTGAGTAGTACCAGGCCGGGGGTGGGTATTGAGAGGTGTATATAATTAAATTATTTTTGTTTATACATTTATATATTTTCACTCAAATAATTAAATATAATAAAAATAAAATATTCGAGAAAATACGTTGTTGGTTTTACAGTACCGAGTTCTTTAATATTTATGAAGGCGTCTTTTGAGTATATCCTGAGGAAATGTCGACGGAACACCATTCATTAACTTCATCCAGCAATAATTGGTGAGTTATAAACCGATAGGCTGGTTGTGTTCTAGGAAGATATAGTAGCGTAAGGCTTAACATGAGTTATGTGAAGGGAAAGCTGTAAGTCTGCTACTAATGGGCAGTAGTAGTCTACTGTACTAAACTGTAATTTAGAAAGAGCGTACCATGGCGTGATGTACTCCGGTTCTTGGTGTGTCCTGAAAGTTTACTGAAGTCCTGAACGAAGTATTTATTTATTTATTTATATACAAGAAGGTACATTGGGTTTGTGAGAATACATAGCATAGTATTTACACTCTTGTAAAGCCACTAGTACGCGCAGCGTTTCGGGCAGGTCCTTAATCTAACAGATAATTTTAAGTAGGTAAATTCTAGCAGAATTAATAAAATGATAAATACATTGCAAGAAAAAAAGTATACTCGCTGTTGGCCTGAAAATGAGTGTCATGGTTTAAATAACCCTAGAGAGGTGGATAAGCCTTAAGCCCAACATCCATACCCCAAGTGGGTTGGTCACATTAAGGCGGGAACATGTGGGTGGCGCGCTGAAGGCTGGTTGACGGCTGCTCATCGCTCTGTACTCAGTATACCAGTGGACGCCGTGAGGGGAGGTTGTTGTCACCGCTCTCGTCACCCCGTCTCGTCCACACTTATTACTGGTGTCTGTGAGTGGCTCCATCCCGCGGTGTTCCTTGTCGGGCTTGTGGTCACCTGCTGTTTGGCTGGAGGCTGATATAGGCAAGTTGTCACTAATGTTAGATCAATGCATGAATGTTCGTAATAAGGCAAATAGGACACTGGGATTTATTAATCGAAGCGGTAGTAACAAGACACCTGGTGTGGTTCTTCAGCTATACCTTGCTCTGGTTAGGCCCCGATTTGTGGAACCAATTACCGCGTAACGTGGTGGAGGTGGGGTCCCTCAATTGTTTCAAGCGCGGGTTGGACATGTATATGAGTGGGATTGGGTGGTTATAAAGTAGAGCTGCTTTGTGTGGGCCAATAGGCCTTCTGCAGTTGCCTTTGTTCTTATGTTCTTATTAGGAACATTTGACATTTCCCAATTAAAATATTTTCGTTGAGAATTCAAAATACACAAGTTTGTGTGTTCGAATGTTAATTGATGTCCCTTGATGAACTAGCTGCAGAGTTAAACACATCCACACATTGACAGTCTAAATGCACTTTAGCTTAAATGACAAGCTTACACAGTTACATAATATGTTCAGTAATTAAACTCTAGCAATGGAGAAACTGATCAAGAATTAAGAGTTTGGCGTAGGTACAATAATACACAAGTGAAGATTTAAAGAGTGAGAGCAATATTGGTGCTAATATGTAAGCTAACCTCTGAGCATCATAGAGGTTCACTACAGTGAACTAGTGTTGGCAGACATAAGACCATAAGAACAAGGTAACAGCAGAAGGCCTATTGGCCCATACGAGGCAGCTCCTATCTATTACCACCCAATCCCACTCATAAACATGTCCAACCCACGCTTGAAACAATCGAGGGACCCCACCACCACGTTACGCGGTAATTGGTTCCACAAATTTGATATTAATACCCTATTAATATCCTCTTTATGTCCATTCAAGAATGGAGACCGAGCAGGGAAGGTTGTGACATATTTCAGAATGTTCAGAGGAATGAGTTTACGGGACAGTCACTCCTGTAAGTAGCGGTGAACACACCGCCATAGCCGCATGTACTGTATTACACCTCTGATGTAATCTTTTCCATAATAATGGTAACTAAAAATCAAGGTTTACAGTTACCATCATTAGTTGAGCAAGCAAGATCATATGTAGACAAGTTTATTAGGGTAGTGAAAGTGGATGATTTGTTGCGAAACTTATAATGAAGACCCATTTTAATTTGTGTAAAATTTTAGCTTAGTACTATTTCATTAGTGAAATTATATACTTCAGGACTTCATAGCCTAGTATACTAGGCTATGAAGGCTACCATCATTATATACTATACTTCATAGCCTAGTGGACCAAACTCTCGCAAGTCAAGCCTGGCCTCGGGCCGAGCTTGGGGAGTAGAACTCCCAGAACCCCATCAACCAGGTATTAATTGAAATTTTGAAGCGAGATTTTTCATTGGGCGTCTCGTAAGGTTTTGTTTTGGTCTTTAGTGTGCTGTTCTTCGGTGACCTGGAGGTAAAATGATTGACGAATAGTGTTCTAGAGAAAACATGGTTTTGAATAACCTGTAAGAGGTTCCAGTACTTGAGTGGAGGGCGATATATACTCGGTTCCATTGTAGTATTTCGTTGCGATGAGCACGTGAGCAAGATTTGGAATGACAGTGAAAGCAGTATTAAACGCTAGTTTGTTTATTATGCACCTCATACCCATCGTGGGCAGTAGTGGAAACGACTGAGGCATATAATGGCTCAGGAACCCCAAATTAATTTCGCTAAGCAAGTTAGTCTTACTAAACTAGTTACACAGTTTAATGAATTCATTATTTAGTTTAACGGAAAATAAATTTAACATGTAATGATACATTGTAAGCTAGTAATTATGAAATGGTAAACATCGTCTTTGGCTAGGTAAGGATATTTTCTTTGCAATATTAGACCTGCCAGCCAACTAGAATATTGGTAAATACCTTTTAAGAAACTCGAGAACGTGTTTAGTTAGCACGCAAACTACTGCTGACCGTTAGTGAACGAGAATGGTGTTAGTGACTGAGACCACAGTTTTGTATAAGACAGACTGTGGAGAGTATGTTCTGATCATTTTCTCTTAAATATAATTAGTGTTGCTTTCGAAGTGCTCTGCACCGTTTTCTCCAAACTTCCTTTGCACTCGTGGTGGGAAAATCTGAACTTTGTGCAAGCAACAAACTCTAATTAAGGCAACTGTATTTAACGTTATCAAATCTTTACGGAAACTCAGACGTGTGTGAGAAACAGTTAAGCGTTTACCAATGGCACTAAGAGTAGGCTTCACCGCTAGGTGATAATAGTTCGGTGGGAAGGAAAGTTGAACACTTAGTGGTAGAGGCTGTGGTTTAGCCCCACTGGCTCCACCTGCTTCCAGCTTCACACGCCCCTCTAGCATCTATATCCGCTTGCGTGTTACTACCGTGCCTCTGGCACCTGTATGCTAATGGTAAGAGGGACCTCAGTACATAAACTGCAATACATCTTTACTTTTAAATGTCTTATTTTAATTTTGCAAATTTTCTAAGTTATTTTATTTACTAAGCGAAATGTCTTTTCTCGACGTAATGTTACACTTTATGCAGTTCCATTGCAGTTTACCTTTGTGTGATCTGTTGCCTTCTCTGGTCTAATTAGGGATATTGGAGTCCATTTATGGGGTAGTCTCTCACCCCTCCAGGGTACATTATTAATGCATTGACAAATTTTAGCAAAGTGAAACAAAATACTGTAGTGTCCATTAAACCGCAGGTGAGTGTATCATCATCAAATTCAGTCCATAAATTAACGTGATAAATAGCCCCTTTGGACGACATAAATATTTATTGATACAGGACTGTCATTTTTAAAATTGCAAGAAAATCTTTGATTCAGCGTTTCCTGATTCTTCGATAAGAGACACGTGTTAACAAGTAAAACAGGCTGGAGTGACTGCCAAAAAAAAGCAATTTGGGTGAAAGGTTCTAGTCTCGAGAAATTCTCTAGAAAGGTAAGTCTCCGTGGTGCGGTGGTAAGACACTCGCCTGGCGTTCTGCGAGCGCTTTGTCATGGGTTAGTATCCTGGCCGGGGAGGATTTACTGGGCGCAAATCCTTAACTGTAGCTTCTGTTTAACTCAACAGTAAAATGTGTACTTGGTTATAAAAACGATTCTTCGCGGCGGGGATCGTATTCCAGGGACCATAGGATTAAGGACTTGCCCGA